ATTGACATAGCTTTCTAAGATGTCTGACGAACTCCTGCGTGGCAAAGTTTCGCGTTAAACCGTTAGGTGTGCATCTGCCGATCAGCTTCTAATCCCATGCTATATGCACAAGTCAGGTGGCTTTTTCCGCTGCGGTGTGGGCTCGCCTGCGAAAGGTCGATGCACACCATCACACGTCCAGTGGTAGAAATATGCATAACCCGCAGCACGGGCTGCATGAGCAAGCATACGCATGAACAGCGTTGAATCTACTGCTGGAAGCTGTATGGAGGCCATCTAGTGAATTCCAACGCAAGTTCACAGACACGATTTCAATACTTCACACAATGTGTTCCTGTGGCAGCATGTGCCCCGGAAAGGCCCCGGTAACGTAGGTACGGCAGGCGCGGGCAAAACTGAGGACTTGTTCGCCATGCTGCCTCGCTATCCCAGCCACCAATTGCAAAGGCAGAAGCATGTTGAAACTCCCGCTGATGACCGCAGTCATAGAGGAACCACGAGGAGTACATGTTACACCGGGTCTTCGCAGAGGTGAGGTGCCGGGCCAGAGATCAAAACGACCTAAGCCCTCTAAGCCCTAAGCCTCAATCTTGTCTGAAGTCCGTGCAGCACGGGCTCGGCCAAGCTCGGCCTTCGGTCGCCTGCGCCGGAGGTCCGCCGGCCCCACCCCGGCAACAGAGCCTCAGATCCGAGCTTTGTCTGGTCTTTGGATTTCTGTGGCAAAGACAGCTAAACTCAAGCCATGCAGCAAAAACCCCACACGAATAGCGCCCGAAATCGAGGCACGCCACGCCATGCCGAACCAACCCCAAAGTAGCCAAGCCATCTTGAACTAGTGGCTCTTCAAACCGTAACTAACAGAACACCATGATGTGACATGAACTAGCCCTAAACCCAATCCCATAAACGTCTGCACACTCAATGCAATCATCTGTGCCGCCAAGCACCATCACAGACAAAAACTGTACAGCCAAGCCAAGCCAAACCATTTTGGAATAAGAAATTTTACAATCATATGCAAGTGGCGAACACATCCCCGAAATGTCCATCCAAATCCTTAACCCGCACCTACCGCATACAACCCCGGACCGTTGACAGAAAGCGTCTGACCATCTCCAGACTGAATTAAGTTTCTGTCACATCAAGAATTTGCTTGAAACTTCTGAGAAAGCTGTTCCTCCCGAGATGTGTCCTCGCTTTCCGGAACGTCGCTGTTCGGAAGCCTATCGTCCCATACAACCGATCGAACGAATTCCTGCTGGTGCCCCGCGCATCTCGGATTACATGCAGATATGCAACCTGAAATGCCACACCCCCGACCACCGGGGGACATGTTTCACTTGTTGACAAAGGGCTCGACTTCTGCCCTGACTGCCCAGGACATGTACCTAGTTCCTGCTTGTTTAGTGAACCAGTTACTCAAACTCACATTTTGTTCATCGATTCTAAAACAATTTCGGTTTGCTCGATTTCGGATGGGGCAGGAGCTGTTGAAGAGAAGGTAATGAGGGGAACGGCCGAAACACCTGCACCCAGGAAAACTGTGAAGAAGTAAGTCTCTGCCTGCTAGTTTCACTGTTTCACCTGCCGTTGTGAATAGCATGTATGGTGGCATGGATATGCATACGGTGGCAGCTGGTAATGCCAGCATCTGTTTTCCTGCAAATCTACAAGGGAAAGGTGAGCACGTGTGTTGGATTGCAGCAGACTTCGGTTCCATGTCATGCAGATAACTTGCATCAGCACTCATGGTTCATGAGCATCTGGACCTCGGTATTGTTCATGTTCCCCTCGCACCGCCCTCTCAGCTTGTACGGTGCGATAAAGCCTGGACTCAAGCCTCATCGAGGAGCCCGGGAACGATGACATCACAAACACAGCAGCTGCAAGCAAGTATGTTTGTGCGGAGCTGGGGACTCGCCCTCAACTCCACCTCCCATGGAAGGCTTCGTAATCAGCCTACAGACAAGCGAACAAACACTGCCCACATTGCAACTACAACAAAACAAGACGCAGGTACGCAACAGCCTATACAACTCAATCATGCAGCAAGCACGCGGACAGTTGCGTACAAATTTAGTTCCATGTCTACATAAATGCAAATATAGATATAAGCTACCCGCCTACCCCCTCCCTCCACAAAAAAACTACCTCGAAACATCTTTGCCTTCGTCAGAATCGCATATAAACCCCTCGAGCCCTCCTGACAATCCCTTTAAGCTCTGACAGTCGGTTTAGCCTTTGCTATACAACAAGCCATCGAAACACAAAGAACCCATACCTGTAGAAATATTCATACTAAGCACTGCCTGCAACCCCTCTTCGACTAATCATACCAAACGTTGCCCACAACCCCTCCGAACACAAACTATCATGCTAAGTATTGTCATACCTCTTGTACTCCTAATCAAGCTATGTTTCGCCTACAATCCCTCAGAACGCGAATCATCGTGTTGAATGTTGGTGGCCTTTGCACTACTGCGCATTAAAGCACCCTTATGTATTCTATGGTTGTTCACCAAAGCCCCTCCAATAAGCATCATCATGGCTGGTATCAACACCATGAGATGAACATCTATCAATACGTCCAAACATTGTGGACTGCTATCTAAGCTGTATAAGGAAAAACGTCATCACAATACAGCATCAATAGACGACCCAGCTTTCATGCTAGCTCTGATTAGCATTGCACGAGACCCGCATTCATGTTGAAAAAACCTTTCATGCAATGCCAGCACCCTGGGTTAGGCCCAGCTGTAAGGACATGCGAATGCTCGTGGCAACATCAAGCTAACTCTTTTAGTTGGTAAGCGAATAGTTGATAGCACTTGTATTTAGCAAGCACAAGCAATAGTTGGTTGTGACTGTGATTTAAAAAAATACTTATCAGAGATCCGTCTAGTATTTAGTGTGTGGTCGAATATTCGTCTGGTATCTAAGGAATCTAGTGTTCGCATTTTCTGACAACCCTTCCCCCCGTACTCAGAAGTAATATAGCTCCGGAAGTCTGCTTTTGATGTCGGGTTAATAATTACGCAATAACACTTATGTCGCTGGGCTCTGAAATGGCTCTTTGCTATAGGCTTGTTCTCCAGAACCCGGAAGTTCAAGGTACTCGCAACTCAATATACGGCAAACAAATCCCAAAATGCAGCGCACCAACGACCTCTAAACATGATAGGAAATCACCTAAATCTTATGACCGGTGAAGTTGTATTAGACGCCGTGATTGATGAGCATCGTTTCGGATTGCAATGTACAGACCTTTCAACATTTAGATATTGTACCTGTTGTACATCCAACATAGAACGTGCGAAGCAGCGATTCTACTGTATAGGTAGACCGCATTCATATTCACAAACCAGGTCCCAGATTACTACATGTTTGAAAGCAAACGCTTTTTGCTTAGTTGTGTAGTGTTTCACGTTCTGACCATGCTTCATGGTCGTTCAAGGACAGGACTCTGATGCGGACAAGCGGTGATTTGGCAAATGCCCTCAATCCTCAAAGAAGCCGACATGATGGCAACGAAGTCCCTAGAGCTACACCTTATATAAGTCAGTATGCTACTGAAGCACAGGATGCAGCTCGGCAGAGAAAGCAGTACAGAAGGTGCGTGTGAGTGTGTGTGTGTACATATATATATATATATATATATCTACATACATATATATATATATATATATATATGTATAAACATATTTACAGACAGATAGATACATGCGTGAGTGCATGTGTATATATGTATATATATATATATATATACAAATACGGAATGTAAACGAAACCATAAAACCCATCCTACTATCTATATATATATATATATATATACATATACATATGTTACATATATATATATACATACATATATATATATATATGGAACACATATTTTATGGTAGAAACCCTACAGTGTGAAAATGGGCCTGCAATGTGTCCGGCTCTGCAGAAAAAGAATATTGCTTTCAACATTGAATCTCGAAGATTCCTGGAAATTTTTTCTGCAGAATATTCCATGTTCAATGAACTCAATGTTCACGATCCAAACCATGGATTTGACGTTTTGATTGTTTTTGTTTTGTCCGCGGTTTGCATATGTTACAAAACACATATGCATGCTCATGCCCGTAGTAAACCTGATTGAGCTACAGCTTGAAATGAACTTAGGAGAGAAATGTATAAATGGAGTGCGCAGATTTGCAGATGTCGGCGTAAGGAAATAATCGTTGGAGGTAGGTTTTGGGGCGGGGGTACCAAATACAACTGCATGTATCTATCTATGTAGCATATGTACCCATCTATACGCATACACACTTGCATCTATCCATCTATACATCTATACATACCCATCTATCTGTATATCTATATGTCCATATATCTATATATCTACATATGCCTGTGTAAACTGAATCTCTATGTTCGTGTGCGAGAGTGTATGCGTATTTCTGCATAGACAGATATGTGTTTATACATACACATCTGTCAGTACCTGCGTACAACATTGTACACATGCAAAAGGCCCGCATCCCATTGCCAAAGAAACAGCAAACAACACAATCTAATCAAAATAACATACATCGTCATGTCAAGACACGCCACGTTCCGTTGCCCTGCGTAATTTCCAGCACTAGTACTCGACGAGTCAGACGAGCTATACAGTAGATTTATGCTATATTACAGTGCAAACATACGTACATACATACATACCTACGCGCATACATACAAATATATGTACATAAACATATGTATATATACATATATATACACAAAATGTGTATGTGACGCACACGTTTCTAGAAGTAACCAAGTGCAAAAAAAAGAACGATAAACAGCAGAAGAGAGAGAGAGAGAGAGAGAGAGAGAGAGAGAGGGGGACGGAATCCCGTATTTGCACTAGGTTTCAATGCACCTTGTGCGTCGCACTTTGCCTGCGGCAGATGTTTCCTAAACATTTATGAATCTGCCTCACACGGGCGCCTTTCGCAGTGGCCAGGACTGTGCTACGGTGAGCTGTCGCATTTTATGCCGGAGAGCAGGAAGCTGCCAACGAGCAGAGCCTCCGCCAGATATCGGAAATTGACGAACGTGAGACTACTTCCATGCAGAAAGCTAAGCGCCACACAAGGACGGTCACCAGGACTGGAATTGGGTTCTCTAGAACCTCAGTTTTTGTCACGGTGCTTGCCTCGCAAGCTCATGCCCGCACGTATCCATACACAGCCTCGTGCAAACCCGAGCAGCCGTGTCCAGGGCTTTGCTGAACATGCCTTGCCCGCTTGCCGACTTGTCCTGGTTCACATAAAAGCTGTGTTTATCAGTGTATTCTCATCTTCATCGAAACGATTGAGTACAAGAGATGCGAAGGGAGTATCCTGCTTGACTTCGATCTCGCTCCGCACCTTAAACGTAGCTTGGCCAAACGCTATGACCTGAGAAGGAGGGAAATCCCGGCATCCGTTGGGCTTCATGACCAGCACCCCGTGCCTTTTCGGGGTTGGAATCGATAACGATGTTGTCGAACATGATGCCCTTGTCCATCGTCCAGATGTCAATACCCACCGAATCTATGGTCGGCAACATGTACGGGTTCTCGTCCACAAAATACTCAGGATTGTCGATCTGCCTGAAGCACAGTCCAGCATTCAGCCCCGAGATAGCCCCCGCTTCCTTCCACACACAGTTTGACTTCTGGCCTTGGCTTCCATTCGCCAATGTAAGCCGGATTGTCAATCTTCGGTGCATACCATTTTCCCTTGTAATTGGGATTGTTGATTCTCGGTGCCTCCCGAGATTGCACACAAATAGGAAGGTATCACTGCTGACGGCATGGTTCTACTCGTGGGATCAGAGATGCCTCCCACTTTCCGCAGCCGACAGAACACTTGGGATTGTCGATGATCGGAGCTTCCCATTCACCATCCTCCTCATCGTCCCAATCTGCAGGCCTCTCCAGCGGAGGCCCGAGCCAAGGCCAAAGCTCATAAGCCACCCTTTCCGAACAAACTCAGACCTTTGCAACATTGAACGCAGGTCCCTCGTGTGTAACTAAGTATCGCTGCACCTCTGCGACTTGGGATCTGGTATCTTAGCCAGCTCGTCCTCCAACCACCCTGAGGGCATGGAAGCTGAGGGATCTGGGATCTGAAACGGCGCATCTTCGTCCCAGTCGTCCTCGACACGCACCGAAACAAAGCAGGCCAAGGCGGCCAAGACCAAGATGCCAACTGCTCACAACATCTCACTTTGCAGTAGCAAAGATATTGCCAGATTGCTTGCAGGAATCTGGTTTCGATGCATCTGGATCATCGATCTTTGCTTCATCGACCCAGTTCGACGGCTTTTGGTCTGATGGATCGTCTATTTCCTGGATCGTATCACTTCTCTCGCACTCTTGAGACACCAAATTCATGCCGGTGTGCAATCGAGTCTCCTTCGGTGGATTAACTGGCGGCTGCATGTCCTTCAGGAGAGAGCCGCTCGCCTTCTTCTCACCGTCGACATGGACTTCGAAACTGTTGTCGGAGCGGATGAACAAGCCTAGCACGACCAACTCGCTCCAAAGCATTCCAGCCACAAGGCAAACAGCCGTGCTCTCGATTCTGTGTCGGCAAGCGGCCGTACAGATGTGTGCGACGGTCCATCGGCACACTTGGAGGTGTTGGCAGATGCTTTTCTTCCCAATTGCCGGTGACGGGGTTCCTTACTTTGCAAGTGCAGCCTGCCCGGAACGAGTAACAAGATGCCAGCACAGCACTCAATCAATGACTGTCAGCCCTGACCAACTGAGCTCACTACTTGTGCTGGAAAATGAAATGCACTTTGTTTGTGCCGCCACATTTGTCTGGCCCGAACATGACGACGTAACCTGGATGGCTGTCGGGTGCTATGTAGTCTTTCGGCGTCCCGGCCGGAATCCTGCATCTGCTTTATGCTACAATTTGCCTCTGACTTCCTTGAAAACATCGTTTTTAAACATGGGTCGTGCTGGACGCATCCAACACATGGCAGACTGGTATCACGAGGAGGTGGTGCCTATGGAAAGCTACGTCCACTGTAATCCTATGTTTCGATTCACATCCCACGGGTCAGTCACGTCTTCAGGTTGGAACGACGAGCCTTCAAGACACATCACGGAGGAAGGCTTCCGAAGAAAGAATAGACAGTCATGGTGATGGAGACAAGCACGGAGGGAGAAAGACAAGGGCAAGAGCGGACTGCACATGCCAGCAGCAAAACCCAGTGATTCCGAAGCGGGCACAAAGACAAAGCGAGGGCATGACATTTGACACACACATGCATCTGCCCGGAATCGAAACTTGTTTTGGGAACGGGAAGAGACGCAGAGAACCGACTTCGACTGTGCACCTCGAGTTGTGATCAGCAGACTCGGAGACCACCGCCGGAACGTAAAACAGGAAGGGCTATAGATCCATGCAGAGGTCACAAGATCCCATGCTAGTGGTTGATGCCGCAGCTACTCACCGTATCATTGGCCAAATTGCGCGTCTCGGAATCGAAAGCATCAGAGGATCGGCCTGCACAAACACCGCACCAAGCGGAAAGCAAAGTGCCCCGTTGAGTCTCGATGAAGCAATCCAGCAAGAGTCCAAAACCTGTCCTTCTCAAATTACACAGCCAGCTCTAACTGAAGAACATCCGGCACTGCAACAAACCTCTCAAACCCGATAGCTAGAACAGGCTCCGACCTCCACTGTCGAACAATTTGATGTACGAACCACCGCACCTGGTAAAGGGGGCCCGAACAATGCTCGCATGTGGATCTCACACGATTCTCCCCCAAAGCAAAGCCCGAAAATGCAAAAGCCGCCACTGCAGCCAGTTCACGACAGGCCATCCTCAAATCTGGCTTCGAACCTTGGGGCTTTGCAGGTTAGTGCAACTGAAAGACATGGTCAAGCTTGGGATAGCCGTACAGCTAAGGGGCATGCTAAGGCAAGATTGCTCTTTCATGTTTTGGCTAGGGATATCAGGAATCTAATGATGCTAGGGCCAGGGAGGAGTGTCTCGCAAGGTCGCAGACCGAGGAACTGCACAGCGAAGGCGCCCTTCTGCTCGACAGCGATTGGCTCAAACTTCGCGGCCTTTGCCATCGTCCAATGCCGCGTGCAAGGTTTCTCATTCTCGAGTTCTCCGAGGGGCTGTACCGTAGTGGCGGGCTGCCTCTGGCACCTGCAATGCCAGATCGCCAAGCAGCGCCTTCAAGTTGCACTCACCAGACAGTTGGTTGGGCTGGACAAGCACATTGACAACGGATCACTATGGCTCTGGATCGCAAAACGCTCGCACACTATCTTTTCTGCTTGCTGTCTACAGTAGCTAAAGGTCTCAAGGGGCCCCTTTGGGCCGCAACAGCAACAGCGGAGGTCAGGTGCACCACGCACTGGAGCAGCACTTCTCAGCTCCCTAAAAACTCTCTGACCGAAGCTGGTTTCACCGCCTTTTGACGGTTCCTTCACGCCTTCGGCGCTCACGGTCTTCTAGCTGCCATTCTTCGGCTTCCAGCTTGAACGTTCCGGTCGTAAGAAGTTTCAGTAGTGCCTCCTTGTTGCCGTTGATCTTGGTAAGAGAATCCACCACCATAGCTTGGTGTTCCACCCAACGTAGGTCCACGCCGAGCCCGTCAATGCGCTCCCTGGCAATGGCAACATCCAATGCCGTGAACTTATCTTGGCTCTGGGAGCCCTCCTTCATGAGGTTGTCGTAGAGGGACTTGGCGTCGACTACCGACAACGAGTCTTTCAGCTTGTCGTCGGCCGCTGCACTTTGCAACACCAGCTCGGCTCGAGCTCTCACATCTTGCTTGAAGGACTCTAAGGTGAAGTCGCTGTCGATGAGCTCGTGGTACACAACCTTTGCCCACATAAGGTCCCCCAAGCCTCGCAAAAGAGCTTGAGCTTCGGCTGCTAGCGTGCTGTTAACTTTCCGCCTCAATTTGCCGGACTTCCACCAGATAATGGTGCATGGGGCACTCTTCCCCGTCAGGAGGTCCCGGTGGAACGCGATCACGGCGGTAGCTCCCTGGCTTGCCCCGTCTTTGTGGTTGGCCCATGAAGCATCAGTTATGCAGCCCCAGCATAAGGACTCCGGCGGAATCGGGTGGAACTTCAGCTCCAGGTCTCGGTTGGCCTTGGCTCCGGCGATGACGCGATTGATGTCCTGCATGTCCTTGACCTTCAGGGTGGTCAGCTTACTGGCAAACATAGAAGCGGCTCCAGCTAGATCAGGTCGGCCTTCTTTGGCCAGCCACGCCAGAGAGCCAATGGCACCACGGGCCGTCGACATTTCCTGTGAAGTCGCTTCGGCCTCAGGCTGAGCTCGACGGTCGCGCGGGATGGCCATCGGGTGCAAACGCTCCTCTATGAACTTGGCCATATCTACCCGGATAGCGCCATCTTGGTCCTGCTGAATCCGCCTGCCGTTGAACATGGTGCCAGACTCCAGTTCCTGCAGCTTTTTGTACTTGCCGAACTTAAAGCGAGCCTGTAGTTGAGCCATGCGATGCTCATGTTCTCGAAACCCAAACGACAGGATGTCGTCGATCTCGATCACCATCAGGCCTTGTAGTTCTCGGTCCACATAGAGTGAAAACACTGTGGGGTCGATGCGTGATTGACGATACCCCAACTCCTGGGTCACATAGGACTTAAGAGTGCGGCGCCAGTGTGCCGGCCCATCCACTAAGCCGTAGACGCCGACAATCACCTCCAGGATGACCTCGGGCTCCAGGCCTGGGAGTCCGCCGCGCGGTTGCCGCACGTAAAGCTTCCCAGCAGTCCTTTGTAGACGATCGCTCTGAGTGAAGGCAGCCTTTAAGTCGCCGCAGGATCCCGGCATACGCCTTGAAGCGACTAGCTGGAGGATGACCTGTAAGTTCTGTGTGGTCACCGTCGGTGCATAGGCATCCAAATCGGCAGCGTCTGGATCCTGATCCCCACGCACACACCACCTGCTCTTGAAGGTGCTCGGCTCGCCGAGTTGCTCGCTTGGCTTCTTTCTCCGGACGAAACGGCTGTCTATGATGCGACTCAGCTGTCCAGTGGCCGCAAGCTCGGCCTTGACCTGCCTGGAGCGCTCAGGGGTCAGTACCTTCACTGCTCCTGATGCCGCTATCTTGGCCCACTCCTCAGCATCAGCTTGGCGCCACTCTGGCCACTCTTCGTCTGTGATGTCCTTCTCGGCAACCTCGTCGCTCGCCGCCTTCTTCGCTGCAAAGGTCTCCGCGGTCACAACGTCGAAGGAGTACACGTGGTTGGTCTCCTGAACCGGGATCCCCCGCATCTGCCTTATAAGCTTCTTGGCCTCCGGCTTGGTGAGCATGAAGTCGGTGTAGCCTTTCCACTTCTGCGCTGCTTTCATTGCCGGCTTGAGCGCCCTCCAGTCGTCGAAGTCCTCGGTGCGGTCCCCGTTCTTGAGAACCTTCACAGTGGATCGCTCAGAAGTCAATGCGCTAATCTCGAGAGGCATCTTGGAGCCTTCCCAGGGGCTGAAATGACAAGTCCGCCACTTCACATGGTGCCGGCGCAGGACACCTTGTTGTCCCAGCAGTTCCCAGTAGTCTCTGTTGGGCTTCGGCTCCTTGGACTCTCCGACCTTGGGTACTGGGAGGTTCTCTTCGACAAAAACATCATCAGCTTCCGGCCGGCGATATGGGTGCGGATGCTGCAACGCTTCCCCGACAGTCGGTCGCGCCGGTTTCTCTGGCACCTCCCCCGGCACTGGGGGCACAGCCACCGAACTCCCCGAGGATCTCGCAAAGGGTGGCACCGTCGGAATGCCATCCAGCCTTCGACCTATGTTGGTCGCCTCCACAGCCTCACGTAGCTGCTCTTCCCGAGACGGTCTCTCGGAATTTATCCTTTCGACCTCCGGCTCCTCGGTGCTCTGTCGCTCCATCTCCGCCGGCACAGGTGTCTCTTGCAAGTCCGGCGCCAAAGGAACCTGAGGCACTGGAGGCTCTGGAATTTCCGGGATCTCGGGCTGAACGGGCTCGGCCGGCTCCGGGCTCGGTAAAGGAACCGGTGGTTCTGGATCATCTTGCTCTGCCCTGAGTCGCGGTAGCCCTCTCGCAAAGCCTTCTTCCTCAACTGGGTCATAGGGAGGCCTTTCGGATACCGGAGGTCTCGGTTCTCTGGTAAGGTCCTCCACCACTGGTGCTTCACGACCTTCTCTCGCAAACCTTTCTCGGAGTTCCCGAAAAACTTCATGAACGGCCTCGGTGCCCTTGATCTCTTCCGACACGGCGTTCCGGAGGTGGTCGTTGGCAACCTTCCACAGCTTGCCCTTGACATTCACATAGCAATTGGCACCCTCGGGAAGGATCACAACTCCTGGCCCTTCCCACGCCTTGTGCCTCCAAACATACACCACCACCTCGCCGGGCCCGAACTGCCGCTGTGTGCGGGGCCTAGATCGAAGGGCCTTCCGAAACACAGTAGAACAATTGGTTTCGGCCCACGCTCGCTGCGCCGCAGCCCTGGCCTTGAGCATCTTGATCATCTCCTCGTCGTTGGAAGCTAGCACTGGATCCAGCCAAGAGTCAGAGTGCAGCTCGGCGCTCACCCGCAGCGTCTGCCCGAGCATGCGCTGGGCTGGCGAAAACCCCGACCTATCAGACAGTCGGTTCTTAGCCGCTTCGGTCTCTCGAATCAGCAGCTTCCACTCATCTAGGGAGGCCGGCGCGTTGATCCACTTGGCCCTCTCAAAGAGCATCTTCCAAAGTGCCCCGTGCCGCTCACAACGACCATTCTGATGCGGTGCTCGCGCCCCAATGGTGTGCAAAATGATGCCCAGCTCATGGCACTTCTCCTTGAACTGGCCGAGAAATTCTGTTCCTTGGTCGCACATAATCATTTGAGGCCATCCCAGGAAACGCCCCCAAGTTCGAGCCATAGCCTTCCACACAACCACGGCCTCTTTCGAAGGGATGCGCTCAATCATCTGGAAGTTGGTTCCCAAATCGACCATGTTGAGAAACAGCTCCTTGTCATTCTGGTTATCCCAGCTTGGCATGTGAAAAAGGTCCACGGCCACCACTGCATTGGGCGCGTACGATCGCGGCACAGCGGTCGGTCTAGGTGCCTTTGGCCTCGCTCCCGAGGCGCAGGCTGGGCAGCGAAAGTGCTGCTTGGCCCACTTCCACAAGTACTCAGGTGCACCGCCGACTCGCAAAGTACGGGCCAAAGTGGCGGCATCGGGGTGCCCAAGATTTTGGTGAACCCGCTGCAAAGCGTCCTTCTGCTCCCGGCTGGGCTCTCGCACAGGCGCAGCTGCATCTTCATCGGGAGGCTCGGGGTACTCCCCGACATCTTCTGGCTGTCCTTCTCCCACAAAGGCCTCGGAAAAAGCTTCGGAGAACTCCTCCGCCAAATTGGTCCCGAGGATCTCCTTGTTATACTTGGCCAACTGGTACTTCTCCGCGTCCGTGGCGTTGGTGAGAATGCCCTTCTTGCGGAACAGCAGGTAGGCGGCCGAGGTTTTGCAAACTTGGTTCTTTAGCTGCTTCAGGGCAGCTGTTGCGGGAGCGTGCTTGGAAACACTAATGGAAAAAGCTCCCCCTCGACGCCACTGGGCCCTTGCCACGCGACATGCGTGGTCCACGGCTGCTGTCCCGGGTCCCGGACTGAGACAAAGTACTTTGGGCTGCCCTTGCTGCCACAAAGCCCACTGTGTAGACTCTTCTTCTTGAGCACAAAGTGCCAAAACTGGATCTCGCCCGGCGCCGGCTGACTTTAGCGACTGCACCCAGGCACACAGATCATGGTGAAACTCGGTGAGGTCGTGCTCCTCCCCACCGTCGGTGGCCGCAAAGAGGTAAAGGGCCGGCTCGTTCACAGCCAAGAAGATTTCTCCCCCAGGCCAGCCGCCGATCTCGAAGTCGGCTCGGTCCCTTCGTTGCATCCCTTGGCTGTCTCGCGCCACCACATAGTCTTCAACTCCCGGCATAGGTCGCGACAGCCAGGCTGAAACTGCCTTCGGGGATGCCCTCTTGAGCACGATTTGCCCATCTTCCGACCGGATCTCGCGAGCTAACGCCCCGACCTCAGCAGGAGCGAAGTCACTTGAGCTCTTTGGCGCATAAGGTCCTGGTAGTACTGGTTCATCTGGCCCGACGCGATCCTCAAGCTGTCTGCCGCTTTGATCCACTCGTCCTTGGTCTCCCTGGTGGGGAAGTGCCGGCTGCGTGCCCGGCTCTCCTCCTCCGACAGCTTGAGCCTCCGAAACTCGGCGATCACCGTCTGAGCCTCCTGCTGAAGGGTTGCGTCCATGCTCAAAAGTGACCCTTCGATCGCACAGCACGCCTCGGCCGCCATGTCGATCTCGTCGGTCGTCCCGGTCAGAAGCTCCAGCTGGGCCTGCATATGCTGCATCTTCTCCTTCTGGTCCTCGATCACCTTGAGGTAGTCGCTCTCCTTGGGGTTCCGGTCGTCCTGTGGCTGTGGCAGGGCCAATGGTTTGGCCTTCGCTTTCCCCTTGGCTGCCGGCTCGGCCGGCACTTCCTGAAGAACACGCCCCGTCACTTGCGCAGCCGCCTCCGGTGACAACCTCCACCTCGAGAGGCACCTCGCGCAATGCACCCAATTGGCGTGCCCATTGCCGCCGCCCTTGAGGTAGCGAGCCTCGTGGCGACAGGTTTGGCCGCTCTCCTCCGGAATGCCCTTCACGTTCGTCATCTTCTCCGGCGCGGGCTCCTGGCTGATATAGGTCTTGTAGAACTCCGCCTTGTTCGTAGGTGCCAGCGCCACGGTAGTACTCGCAGAGGCCCGGCTCTTTGGCAAGAAAGCTGGCTTGGCAACTCCCTCCAGGAACTGCGCGACCGCATTGTGCAGCGGCCCCCAAAACACCAAAGAGCAGAGCTTGTCCCCAACGACGCGCCAGTTTCGGAGCGCCACCTTTGAGCGGTCTGGCACCCCTCTTCGCTTCCGGGTGCTCGCTGTCGACGGCTTGCCGGTGTCCCTCAAGACCTGGGCCGCCAACATGGGTCGCAAAGGAACACTGGCCCTCAGGGGAAAACGTCTTGCTCATCGAAGCAAAGCCAGAACGCTGCTGCACAGAAGAAGAGCTCGCTCGAAAATCACTCTCAGAACGCGTGCCCTTACACTGCGACGGCAAAGTCCAGCCATTGGGCCCGAACTCGAGAACACTTACTGCAGCATGCCCAGAGTGAAGCGTGATCATGTTGCACGAGGCCCCGACATAGGTAAGGCTGAGGGTGTTCTTTGGGAGGCTTATCTCGGCACCTAGCGAACGCATCAAAGAAATCGGCAATAAAAGTGGAACGTCCTCTGCAATGACGGTGCATTCAAGTACTCCCGAAATCCCAGCCAAACCCAAGGGGAGCTCTACCACTCCGACTGTGGTCGCGGTTCCTCCTATCCCTCGTGCTGCTGCGGTCTTGTTAAGCCACTTGCATGCTAAGCCATGTTGCCGGAGAGCACTGCAAAGTCGTAGGAGACTGGGCTTGCCTATCAAACCATCTTGCGCGGCGGTGTCCACCAACGCCTCGCCCTCTGAAGTGCTAACCCCGCAAAACTGTAGGCACGAATCCCTCTTTTCTTGCTGGCGTCGAAGAAGCTGCTGCAAAGAGAGAAACGCAACCGAAGAGCTTCCCCCGGCCGCCGTGCCCCAGTAGAAGGAGGTAGCTGAGCCCGGCTTGCCAGGCCCGGAACCAGAGGAGGCCGAAGGTGCCGAAGACGAACCCGGGCGATTGGAAGGGCACTCCTTCGACCAATGGCCCACTTGCCCGCAAGAGCGGCAGCGGGTCCTGAGCTTCAACTCCTCGATATGCACTCTGCCCTTGCCGCCCGAACTCCAACGGCCAGTCCCGCGCCCTGCCCCGGCACCACCAGACGAGCCTTTTCCAAAGCCCTTCTTGAATCCATGGCCCTTCTGCTGGTGGCCTTTCCCGGCTGTGGCAGGAGCCTTGTAGAACTTTCGGCCCAGCCGCTGGTCCTTGATCTTCTGCCGCACTTCCTGGTAAGACGCCAGCGCCTCAATCAGGTCATCTTCCTCGTACACCTCGCCGGGCTCGGCGTCGCCTAAGTAGATGAAGTTCTCGTCGTCCTCGCTTTCCTCCTGGTAGAAGGCTTCGGCCGGAGCGTCCTCGATGTAGTCGTCCTCCGGTTGGTCCGGGTCATCGAAGACAAAGGCCCGCTTAGCGCCTTCTTGGTGGACTCGCTCTAGACGGCGCAGCTTAGCTAGCACATTATCCTTGGAGTAGTCGCCTGCCAGCCAAGTCGTCAGCCTGCCGTCCAGCTCCGGGTCCAGGTTGGCCTGGCGATGCAGAAGGTATCCGACCGCCTTCGTCGGCAGCTCCACGCCTTCATCCTTCAGCAAAGCCTGTGCCCTCTCGAAGCGTATGATGTACTCCGCCACGGTCTCCTTGTTGGAGCGGGGTGCTCCGAACAATGCTCCTTCCATCGCCCTCGGCAAGGCCGTCTCCACGTACGGCTCGAAGGCTTCACACAGCTTTGCAAGAACGGCCTTGTAGCCGCCCGCTCCTTTTATGTCTGCGACCGCCAGCCCATCCACTGCTGCCTTGGCTTGCCCGCTAAGAACTTGCACAAGTTTCAAGCCCTGCTTCTCCTCAGGAACATCTGTGGCCGCTTGCCAAAGCTCCAAGTCCCGCAGGTAGCCTCTAAAGGAAGTCTGGGGGTTCTCCCCATTGTAGGCTGGCGGTGGGTCCTTATCTCGATAGACCCATTCTCCCTGCGTGCCGGCACCTTTGCCGGCCATCTGGGCTCGCTCGACACCCAAAAGGCGACCCCACTCAGCAGCCCAACGTTCAGGTAACCTGAGCCCTCAGCAATGTTCAGGTAACCGAGAAACGCTGCCTTCACGTCGCGGCGGATCGTGTAATCGGCGCTGAGGTCACAATCAAGGCCGCCGCCCTGGAGCAGAACCACGCTCCGGTGCCAACTGACAACGGATCACTATGGCTCTGGATCGCAAAACGCTCGCACACTATCTTTTCTGCTTGCTGTCTACAGTAGCTAAAGGTCTCAAGGGGCCCCTTTGGGCCGCAACAGCAACAGCGGAGGTCAGGTGCACCACGCACTGGAGCAGCACTTCTCACATCCTGTCGCGAACAACCCAACACCCCGAAGTGCCACCTCAGGGGTTCGTGTGGTGACTTCGAATTTTCCATTGTACTTCTCCTGAGCCGTACAGCGCATGTTTCTGCAGCCTGCACTGATGAATTCAACATCCGAAAGGGGACAACGGTCTTGGCAAGCTTCCGCAGTGGAGTGCTTCCACCTTGACCATACCTAAGCAAGCGGCAGGAGCAGAAAGCACACAACCTGCATCATGGAGCTTCGAATCCAAGAAGCATCGGCATCAAAGGTCTCCACGAAATGGAGTCCACTCACGTCTGGAGCAACATAAGGAATTGCAGGACCTTCCTGGCATAAACGTCGAGGATCGAAGTGCAGACAAACCCAACAAGTCTCCAATTTGTGGTTGCGGTGGTGAGTCCCTTTACACCCGTGCCCCTGCTTCACTGACTAATTGTTACTTACAACTTCTGAGCTTCTCCATCTGTCTGTCAGTCACTTCCCATCTACATTCCCTTGTTGATTCGTTACACTCTTCCGTCTCCGATGCAGTCTTGCAATGGCTGCCCGTGGCCTCAGCGCTTGCGCTCGTAATGGCAGCAAGCACGGCTCCGCGCAGCGCTCGCATGGCCTCGAAAGTCACGACCGAAAACTTCCTCTTTCTGTGGACATGAAGAGAAAGGTTTTCGAGAAAGCTGGACATGACTTGACTTGACATGCCGTTGGAAGCGAAGACTTCATTGCAGCAGCGTCACGGCACGACTCCTGGGGCCTCTCCACTGCACAGGAGGGCGCTACTTGAGCCTCTAAGACTCTGGAGGAATTCTGAGGAAAGCTGTACAGCTGGAAGCCTCCAGCTGTTGCACAAGTCGCTTGCCAACCACCTCTACGTTTCACTCCTGCTTGCATGAGCAGGAATTGTCTTCGAAAAGGATTCTCCGGCAGGGGCATGAACCCAAACCTGTGTCACTGCACCTTCCATGGCATCCTTAAACAATCCAACGCAGCAGTTTCGAGTGGCGGACGCCCCGCTGCTGAAGCACGGGCCTGGAAAGGTCGCTGGTATTGCGACGCTTTCATGCTTTACATCGTCACCGCAGGCATGGCAACCGCCTGTTCCAGACTGCAGTCTCGCAGCAGAACTGGAGTCCTGACAACTTTGACTCCCAGGCCGGTGAAGGACTTGAAAGCAGAAGCACCGCATGCAGCACATGCAAGACGTTTTCAGCCCGCAGCGTCGGAACCTTCTGTCTTGAGTCCCTGTCTCATTGTTTGTACAGCTCTCTGCGAGTACTTGCGGGAACTGCTCTCAGAACACTCGAGCTTCAAGTTGCAGGTTCAGGTACTTTAGAGGAAGATAGCCATCAGATGATGATGCCCTGCACCTGCTTCTGCTGCGTCAGTTTCAGCATCCTGACAGAAAGTGCTTTCTGGTACTAGGCCCTACTAGGCGCATTGCGAGCTGTTCCGGTAAATTCTGTAGATCTGTAGCAGCTCGGGTTGGGTCCACTTCGGCCTCGAGCCCCTAGAACTGCGAAGATCCAATGTATCCCAATTCAGAACGAACCTCTGAGGAAATTGACCACAAAAAAACGACACGGGCTAGGCTTCTCGGCTGACCCTCACCCGTCCTGCAAGAGCTTACATGTACAAAGAGCGTCAAGTGCCCCGGAAAGACTCCCAAGTCGGTCTTCGCAAAGAGGTCGCGGGCTAGAAAGGTGCCAGTAGAGCGTTCAGGAAACCAGGAGATCCTGAAATTTGTTCAGGCTGTGTCAAGCAAAGAACATGCTGGTTCTGCCCCCGTCGGCCCTGTCTGAACAGCTCGGGTACATAGAAGAATCCACGGTGATGTTGCTACCATCTCCGCCCGTGCCAGCATTTTGAAGAACCACTGCTGCCTCCTGGCCTCAGCAAGTCACCCCAGAGGATGTGAAAGTTATGCGTGGTGTGCGTGGCAGAGCTGTCTGTTGAGTCTCAATCCTGCAAGCTCGCGCACCCAAACACGCAAGTCTCCATCACAACCGGCCACGCAGAAGCCTTGCTTGCCCAGAACATCCTCAACACATGTCGCCTGTTCTCACAGCCTGTCGGTGCCGTGCACATCCGTGCACCATGCAGCCCCCGGTCCTGGTTGACGGAGATGACTTCCCGGTTCTGGAGAATCTCTTTGGATTCTGCCGATATCATTCGAAGGTCATTGGACATGAAGAGCGGCGCTGCAAAAATGGCCCACAAAGCGAACTGGGTCTGTTCTTCTGAATGGGACAAACCGAAGTTGCCCGCAATCAGCATGTCAGGATCCTATGCAGACAAAAGTTCAGGACACGACGACACCGCATGTCAGCGCTGCCAGGGCGGCTCTGAGGCCGGGGCATTCCAGTGCCCGGGTCCAGCTGCTCGGACCATTTCATCACTGCTGTTCCTCCTCTTCCAGAAGTCAACAATGCCAGTCACCTCAGCTCACAGCTTGGCCGCGCAAGGACCCAAACTAGACTGTCTCAAAGACGACAAGTTACAGACTGCCAGCTGTCATCAACCTTGGTTCGCACCCATGTGTTCCAAGAACTGTCCTTCCCGCAGAACTTGCACAACAGCATGTTCGCGCGAAGAGATCACGGTCGCAATCGACAGTCCAGCAAGGAACATCTCCGTAGTTGCGCCAAAGGTTGCCTCAGGCTAAAGTTTCCCAGAAGCCGTGGCCTGGGAAACATATGCTCCGAAATGTGGTAACATTTGCAAACGGCAGCAAGACAGCTCAGCAATAGTACGCTGAATATATTGCGAGAGGCAGTTTTCCACTAAAGAGGCCATGCAAGCGTCACTTCCTTCGCAATGATGGGGCAGGTATGCAGGCCAGCTGCAGCTGTAGACCTCAACAAGACAAGTTCAGCAAGGAGGCTATGTGGAACCCGGGAGGTTCTGGGGAATGTGCTATTGGCCGTCCGGTTCTGTTCAACGCTGCCCCAAAAGCGGGATAATCCGCCTGCATGTCCTTCAGAACCCCGGAGACCACAAGCAGAACAAGGCCTATCTTCTACAAAGGTCGCCGCATGTCCTTGAGTTCTTCGTAGCAGCCATCCACTTTGATGTAGTCCACCCCCCAGGATGCAAACAAACGGGCCTCGGAGATTCGAGGTTGACTCTGACACTTCTGTCAGTTCTCGGAGGTCCCGGCATCGTCATCGAAGTGGCCCTGGAGGCCTACTTTTCCAGCGCAGGTCTTGGAGCCGATGTCGCTGTAGGTCCCGAAAAGGAGACCACGATCATGGATGTATTTTCCTAAAGCGGCCATGCCCGATGGGAACCGCCTGGGGTCTGCCACTTGCTGACCCTTCTCGTCGCGCTCCGGGAGCGCCCAGCAGTCATCGATGCTCACCTGCTTGTAGCCAGCGTCTAGCCATCCATCCTGCCAGGTCGACAATGGGGGCCGAAATCCGGTACCCCAACTATTGATGGCCAGTAGCTGTCACGACTATTGCCAATGCAAGGTTGCAAGCTTGCCTCATATCTACTGGCACCTCCTTGCTGAGATCAATAATTACAATTCAGCCTCCCCGCGAAATCGAACGATGCGCATGTTCTACTCTCTCACTTCAGCACGAGGAGGGGGACTACTGTCAACGCACCCTACCGGCATGCGAGTCGGAACACGGTCCAACCGACTTAGCTTCACAAGAGTCCGGCCAGCCTTTAGTGCGAAAAGCTACGGTTGACAGGCGTCGCTTTGGAACATGGCATTTTGCAGAGTGGTTCGAGCCGCCCGAGCATAGAACATAGATGAAGCCCTGCAACTAAACGTGATAGATGTGACAGACGCACCGACAAGGCTGACAGATCTGCGAAGTTAATGTCTGACACATCGAGTGCACGCGGTCCTCTGCAAGCCGATCAGCCATGTCCTTGATAAGCTGCTCATTGATACAGTGGGATGGGCCCGAAGTGCTGCAGTCGGTGATGCATCGGTAGCGCTCCCACGTCATCCAACCCATCGGCGGTGTGCGAGCAAGCCCATTGTCAAGGCACTCTGTCAAAGCTGTGGATATCGCCAGGCACAGGGCAGACAAACGGCCCATTGCTAGCGCGGTGTACGTAGGCGGTGGGAACACCGTGTAGCGCTTGAGGGAAACAACAAAACGCAACAGCCACTCTCACTTCTCGGATGCGAGTCTTGATTGCAGCAGACATGCCACTCGTCTCCATCTTGCGTCCTGAAGCCTCCGGGCGGTCATCGGCTGCAACGCAGACACGCGAGCGGGTGGCACTTGCGATATGAATGAGTCCCACTTTCGTAAAATCCTGTGGCCACATCTAGCCGTTTTCGGTAATTTTTAGTTGCACGGACCGAGCGTGTTGGCATGGTGTGTGCTTGTCTGAGCTGGACCAAACAAGAAGCATAGTTGGCTGCAGGCAGGGCTGTGCCCATGCTGACCACCGAAAGTCCAAAACCAGGCAACAGGACGCGGCTCAGGGCACCTAAAAGGATACCAGAAAACGATAAGCATGTCAGAAGCATTCATTTTATTGCCGAAGCCCCGCTGCGACCAGAGGCGATCACAGTCCAGCAGATCTCGTGTCTCCGACATTAAATCGTGCAATTCAAAACTGTTCTACACAGGCCGGCCTTGCAAGCGCCAGGATGTTGAGACTCGTGTGACTCTGAAACTTGGCAAGCTGATGCCTGCCTGTGTCGGTGCGAGTGCTACAGACGTGCTTCTGAAAGCTAAAGATGCACCTCACATTCGCTTTTGACAGAGAGACAGAGAGACACATCTTTTGGGGAAATGGGGCGAGAGGGGGAGAGAGAGAGAGAGAGAGAGACAGACAGAGAGAGAGAGAGAGAGAGAGAGAGAAAAAAAAAAAAAAAAACAGCTCAACAGCAGAAGGGTGCAAGGCACAGACGGACTAAAGAGAGGCGCTGGGGCGATCGGCTCAACTTTTGAACAGCTGATCCTGAGTGCTCATGCAAGTGGAAGGGGCAAGCTGAAAAACTAGCTCACCTTCTAGTGTGAAGTACCTACCTTGACAAGGGCTGCGTCTTTGCGTCTCTTTCCCTGCAGAAGCACCCGCATGCGGCCAAGTCTCGATCTCATCTTGGTGCCTCTGCCTGACCTCCGTTGCAACACTGACCACACATGTTGCCCCAGTCTTGTCGGATGATTGCAGAGTATGGCCTCCTGCACGAAGTCATATGCGCACAGGAAGTCCTCCCATATGCCAGCAAGACCCACCGAAAGTTGGGATCTCCATTACAAACAAAGTCGTGAAAGACCAGCCTCTCTTTGTTGGTCGTTCATGGCCTGGAAAAGCGGTCCACGCAAGATCAGCAGGTCCTGCATTCGAGCAGAGATCACGATGCGGAGGAGTTCTTGGAAGTGGAGTTCCTGTAAGATCTCTGGATCCTTCAGCTGGTGCTTTGCCCATTCTGCAGTCATCACCTCGATTCATCCAACAAATTTAAATATCCTCTGGCGTCTCACATACCCGGGTGACGGCACTCAGAGCGGCACCTGGACCTTGTTAAATTTCTTGCACCACCCTGGGACTGCACCCTGCACCACGGGGGTAGCGAATGGGGTCGCCAAGAAGTGTTCTCAAATAAAGGCGGCGAACAAGATTGCTTCTCCGGAAAGGTTGCCTTCTTGTCGGCCACAGCGAGAATCTCCCTGCGGAAGCGCTCGGCTTCCTTCTGCGCCATCCTGCCACTACTCGCACAACGTCTTACTTTACTCACTAGCAGTCACTAGCAGTCACCAGCAACCTTTGAGCCGCGCCTCACAGCAGAATCTGCGTCATGCGGCACCGTAGCAACCGGCAGTTGCTCTTGCCTCCTGCTACAGACAAACAGAGTTTCAAAGGCACGTGAGCCTTCACAGCACGACACCCCGACCCCGATTTGCTTGCTAATGCCCGACACAACACCCCGACGCCCGGACGAACATGCAAAGTAAGTTAGAGGAGGATACACCTCAACAGCAACACGAGAAGAACTGTCAACAGCTGAGCAATCACCCGATGCGTCTTCCCACTGCTCCCACCCCGCCAACTACACCATATCTTCCGCACAAGCAAAAACGTATGTGATGGGATGCAGTTCAGGGTACGCTGTTGCTGATGATCGCGGATTGCCTGCTCCATCGTGAGTCCTGCCCTCTTATGGTGCAAATATACATAATTGTGCTTTACTGGCAAGGAGAAAAAAAACAGATGCCGCCACAAGCTTCCGGCACTGGCTCAAGCAGTCCTCGCTACCACATCTGGAGCCGCAGGCGGCAGCGCCTCCTTCGGATGCTTGCATACAACATGACACGAAGCTTGCTGTCTTCCACCCAAAGCTACCTGCGGCATGATCTTCACGAACCACAGCTTCCGAGTCCGGCAAGAAACCTAGTGGCCTCCTGGACTGCGGCTCCGTGCCTCCAGCTTCTCCAACTCCCGGCGCGCTGCCTCGTTGTTGGGCTCCAGTCGAAGCACCTTCAGCAAAACCGGAGCAGTAGAGTCCTTCATTTTCTCCGAGGCCTGCTCCCTTGAAGCCGGGCCATATCGAAATGACCCTCGCCTGTTCGCTCGCTTGCTCGCCTTCTTGCTTTCTTGCTTGCTGCCTTGCTCTTGCTTGCTATGGGTATAACCGGTATCGCGTGACCCCAAACGCGCGGCTTGTCTTTGCCCCGATGTTGGAAGGCGCATATACTGTTTCCCAAAAGTTCCCCGCTCGAGCGGTCTGGCTTTCCACTCAGCAGTGTCCTCCCCAGGTCGCAACTAGTCGCCACGCGCAATTACAGCCCGCCCGGGCTGTGTTGCTGCGTGGCACATCTTTACTGAGGCCACTCGACATTCGTGTGCGCTGCAGCTCAGAGTCTTCGAACAAGTGTGTTCATCGACCTCCTTCTAGCAGATACCCCCCGGCCCGAGTCCTTCGCTCCTCTGAGCTACTCGGTTCTGACTTCGAGACCTCGGGACGTTTAGCACCTACGGCGTAAGACTTGCCAATCCTCCTTCATAAATCAGTTCCAAACAATTTTTTTGTCGTTCGGACGAGACTGTTTTTGCCACACATTCTAGTACGGGCACGGATTCGGTTTGGAAATAGCAGCCTGACCTTGTTGTCGCGTTGGGCTGACTGTCGCCCGACCTGCATGCGCCAACTGCTCCTTCACGAATAGCTTTTGGGGTCCTGTCTTTCACCAACAGCGCGAGCAAAGAACCGCCAGGTTTGTTTCTTGTCCCCGAGCTGCAAGCCTCGTCCCTGTAATTTACGATCCCCTATGCTGGCCTCATCCCGGCGCAGCCCTCATGCCTCATGCATCGGTTCACGAGGGATTCGAAGCAACCGCTTAGCCGTACAACAAACAGAAACACTCACAAGCTCTGTCCCCCCGTGTTTGCACGATTGGGATCCCTGGCGCTGGTTCCTTTAATGCCTATCTTTCTGAGAAGTCCCCCCGTGAGTTGGCACGAAGGTATAGTTGCATGTGACAAGTAGCGCAGCCAACGCACAGTGGCAAATCGTATTGTTGGGGAAACTTCTCTTGTTTTCTGCTATAAATGCCAGTGCGCCCTCGGGTGCGGCATGTCGGACCCCCGCTCTGCACGCAAGCAAAGCGCTTACACATGATAAGCAAAAAACAACAAAAAGACTCCCACAGACAAGCGTACACCTCGACAGTAACACTTCTAATTGGGTCACCCCCCCCCGTTTGCTGGTTCTTGGTCTCTGTTTTTTCTTTAGTGGGTGAAACTAGGCTATACTGGGCCTACTCAGTGGGCCTCAATTGAACGAACCGAGCTGAACACGTCTCGCTGCCATTACCGTGGTCGCCAGGCTTGGGTCTGTTCTGCGGGCTCGGATCATGGGACGGCAGAATCTAGGTGTCTCTCTTTCTTTGGCAAGGGCTTGCTTGCTTGCAGGGGTAACAACCCCGTGGCCCGAAGGCCTACCCCCAAGGCGCGCTCGATCCATTGTCAATTCAACCCCTTCCTGGGTGGTGCGTGCATTCCCCCGAGCGTGCCTGCTGACCGGTCCCCCAACGAACGCCTCGTCGGGCGGGTGCCCCCAATATTCGTGTGCCCCACCATTCGCGACTGGTGAGTTTGCGACCCATGGCACTGGTCAGTGTCGCTCTATGGCAGAGTTGCTGTCAACTGGGCTGGTGCCCCGTCCTTCTTGTGGAAGTAGTAGAGCTCGAGTTGGTGATGTTGGTGGCTGCGGTAGTGCGGCTGCGGCTTGTGATTCGAGACCCCCTGGTCCGAGGCTTGCTTGCTTGCACTCGGACAAGAGGCATGTGCGCATGCCCCCGCGCACGTGTCCGCACCGGTCTTGTCGTCGGTGTGACACATCGCCGGTTGTAAAACGAAGCTCTGGCTTGCACCGTCGCATTCCCCCTTGAACATGAGTCAGAACTTATTGCCGCCAGGCCTCATCTTGTTCCGGACTGCAATCTACTTCCCCGCAACTAGGTGCGGCACTAGGGCTATTCGCCCTCGTGGTGGCTCGCCCCCCTTTTCACGTTGTAACACGTTCCCCGAGCACTGCTCAACACAAGGAAAAAGCACATATGCCCATGCAGACTCAGCACACTACTTTGGCCCCGGCCAAGCAGCTACTCTGTATGTTCCAGTTGCTGGTTCTGTCTCTTTACTCCATACGTGCATGCAAGGATCCCCCACAAAACAACTTAGCAGTTAGCAACTGAAGCAGCCTGGCTCAGTGGGTGTGTTAAAAAGAAACCAGCATTAAGGGCCCAAAGAGCCCGCAAGTTGACCGAGAAGGCTGAGGGTTGTGCCTCATACGTTTAAAAAGTTCACCCCTGAGATATCGTCGACCAAACACCTGGAATTTGTCTATGCCTTTGGGGGCTGCTGGGTCCCCTGTCGTAGGGTCCCCTGCCTCATCCAAAGGTGTCACTGGTCCTTTTGGCACGTATGCCCTTTACCAGGCCTGAAGTCAAGGCTCAGGTTAAAAGTACACTCCCCCGCTCAGTTCTTCTTGTCTCCGTAGTCGCCCTTCTTGGCTTTGTCCTTCTTGGCTTTTTTTCTTCTGCGTCACACCCATCCCCCTGAGTCTCTCGGCCAGTTGGCACTGCTCCTGCCAAGTGGTGTTGGTCTTCGGCGGCCTTGCCAGAGGATCACGTTTGGAGGTTTTCATGCCCTCCCCCTTTATTGGCTTTTGCCCTTTCCCCCGGGTTGGGGTTAGATGAGCTCGCCATCGATGGAGTCAAGGTTGACGCAGTCCCGCTAGATCACTGTGTGGTCCGCGACGCGGTAGTATGCTCCTTCCCCCTACTGGCGGGCCACCGCCAGAGAGGGGCCGCGGTCAGGTTCCGGAGGAAGCGCTTGGAAAAGGGCCGCTTCAGCAAAACAGCGGTGAATATGCGACGCAAGCGCCGCTGGGAAAAGCACAAGGGCTCTCCTGAGGGAACAACCTCAGGCCAACCCTGTGCCTCCCCCCAGTGCCAAAGGTGCGGACACTTGAGCTATCTCGCTCGCTCGCTGCTGGGGAAAGGTCCCCGGGCCAAGGCCCCCCTTCCCCGTTTCACTTGAGCAATCTCTCTCTCTCGGTTTGCTCTGCTTTGGCCTGGGCCACGAGCGGCCCTCGCGACCTGCGCGGTTCCCCACAGCCCCATCCATTGGGATGGGCTTGACTGTACGAGGATCTTCGGTGTCCGAAGAATCCGAACTCCCACGCGATTTCGGGCAGCGGGGGCGAAGATGGTTTTTGCCCTCCTTTAGATACTTCGCAAGGACGAGACCCCGCATTGGAGGATATGTTCGGTAACTGTGGTTGGTGTACAGCAGAGAGGAATCGCCATAACCTCGTGTTAAGGCCACGATTACACTGACTGCTGAGTCGCGAGGATGCATCTTGTACGTTTCGGGTCGCATCAAAGATGTGGGCACTGCAGTCGATAGGTTCTCAGGTCAAACACCAACACACACACACACACCCGCACATACACACAATGCAACACTGTAACTTGCTTGCTTGAATGCTTGCTGGGTTTCTTGCTTGCTTGCTTGCTTGCTTGCTTGCTGGCTGGCTGGCTGGCTGGCTGGCTGACGGTGTGAGGCCCCCATGGAGCGCAACAGTCTTGCGGTCTGGCCCCCTCCTGGGGCGGAAACGGAATTCCCCAGAATGTGCATCCACCTCAACACCCCAAGAATATCTCTGCCAACCATACATTTTCTGAAAGCCGCCGAAATCGCGTCACACTCTCCCTGCGGTCCTCTCCTTTCTCGAAGTGGACTTTACAGTCGCCAAGGCCTGCTCGAAGTCTTTTCGAGCCAGAAGCCAGCCTTTGGCCTGGCACCAGGAGTCGCAGCGCAAGCCGCAAGCACAGGGATCCCTTCTTTAAGCCACGCCAGAACTTCGTTGCTGTAGGCACAGCCGCGCCGGAACAGCGCTCGAGTGTTGTTCGGGTCCACACTGAGCGCCTTTCCCCGGCGTTGCGAGCTGTTCTACTAATCGTGCAGGGCCACGATCAGAGCTCTTGGCAGCATCACATCCTCTTGAGGCTGCGACATGCGCTCTTCAAACGAAAAACTATGTATGTAGCTTTTTTGTACAAGAGTTGGGATGCAGAAATGGCTTTTTTGCAAGTAGCGAGCGGCCCGGTGCATTGCTCACTGCAGCGTTAGCTACAGTAAACGCGTTGCTACAGCTCCAGGTCGCTGTTCTGATCAGCACCTTCGAAAAGCAAAGCTCTCGCGGACAGCCCAACTTCACATGCCGGCAAGCGATGCTTGGAGTACCAGCCAGATGCAACCCAAGGGCCGTATCTCAGGGCAAATCTCGGTGGCAGAACCGACTTCAGATTCACATCGAGAGGTCGATATGCTGCATCACTTGCCCCTGCAGCTGCGAAGAAGAGCTTGTCACCTGAGCATCAAGCTTCAGCTCAATCTTTGGTGTGCACGGCTGCCTATGCACTGATGACTGGCGTTGACGAGTCTTGCAGGCTCAGGCACCATCGTCTCTGGCACGGAGCGATTTGGGCTGGCAGTCTTCCCCGGCCTTGGCGAAGCGCATGACCTGCCTCTCGCGGTTAAAGGTGGTGTGGTAGTAGCGGAAGAAGGGCATGCCCAAAATCCACACTGAACCAAGCTGAGTCTTCATGTCCATCTCCTTGGCAATGCCACGATCTACATGCCGAATGCTGCATTGCATTGAAAGATATTGAAAGTCCATAATTAATCTCGATAGCTCTAACAATCCAAGGTTTTGCAAAGCTGCCATGAAAGCTGGCATGCACGAGTCAATCTTGCGAATCTTTGGCTTGAAGAACAGGAGATCCCAAATGCTGTCGGCTTCCACGCTGGCACCCACGACCCTCCAAGCGAAGCTGGTTTCAAACACTCCCCACAGCATGACGTCAGCTGTTGGGCGACGAAACGGATCTCATTGCAGTTTACTGGTTTTTATTCCATGCAGAACTGGAGCTGAGCTTGTCCCTTACAGTCAGAATGGCCTCATCACATAAGCTTGCGGGGGAAGTTCGAGCTCATGGCCGTCCAAGTTCAGTTTCAGATTGGGCAGCTCATGCAGATTGGAGCAGTCCTCCATTTGTGGTCACTGGATATATAGCCGTTCTAGCGACTGCAGGAAACATGGTGTGACACTGACCGGCGAGTCTTGGACGCAAACACTCGCGACTCACAATGATCTCAGCGGAATTTGCCAGGCAATTGGCAACACCTACCGAGCGTCTTCGGTGAAGGCCTTGAAAGAATCACAAAAACACAGCGAACAACGCTACCTCGTGTTTCATAGATTGCACTCGCGTTTCATGCATTTTCGCTACAGCTAAGAAAGAGATCGTGCCTCAAAGGGAAGCACAAAAAGCTGATGCGAGGCAGCAGAAGCAAGAAAACTGCACAAACAAGCCGCCCACTCTTGCCCTCGACTGAGCTTTCAGTCCTCTTCGATCTTACCAATCTGCCGGCCTAGCTCCATGAGTGCCGATGCCGGAGCCGCAATGAGCGAGGTGCCACTGTCGACGATGGCGGCACAACCATCTTGACACACCTGATGTGCTGACAGCACGTGCATTGGATTGCAAAAGTCGACCTCGGACCCATGATTTGTGCTGGCTGCAGAACAGGGCTGATGAGGCTGCGGCATGGCTCTTGGTAGAATTTCCGTCCTTTACTACACACTGCCTGTCTACCACTGCATTCCCCATTGACACCGCGAGTCTCCTTAGTGAAGGAGACATGCGTCAGGTTTGTGGCCCAGTGGTGCTTCCCCAGCACGCGAGCGGTCGCGACATCAAGAGGCTCCTGATGCTAGGCAGGATTTGCCGTATGCCATTCAGAGCGCCGGGAAAGCATTGAACTGCTGTGGAGTCTCCATCGCGGCATCCGCATCAGGGCCCCACGTCAGGTACCCATTTCTGCCAGACTCCTACAGAAGCATATCCCATGCCGCGTGAACCATCGCACAGGTTTGAATGCTCTGTTCGACGATGTCCTTGTTCAAGCAAATTGAGAACTCATCAACCTCGTCACACGAGAATCGGCTCAAAGCAGAAACCACACATGCACTGTGCATCTAAGCAGCATGATAGTTCATCAAGAGCGTCTTCCTCACATGATGCCAGACAGAACCACAACCGAAGTGCAGAACCCACCCTGAGACGTGTGAGAACTATCGTAGGGTGCGGCATGTCTTTTGTTCGAAGAAGGGCTTTACAGCTATGCCTGCCGCTCCTACCCTATGTCTGCTCTGCAAATCGCCTGGACATTAAGCATATCAAGCTGTTCGTGCCCGAGGATCTGCGCGGTGTTGTACCCAAACTTGGGGCCAATCCCAACAATCGCAGCAAACTTTGCCGTGTCCAGTATCGGGATCTCATGCTGCAAGATCCTTGGCAGCAAGCCCACAAGAAGACAGGCCAGCAAGGCTTAACTTTGACTGATTTGCCCAGTCACTCCCAAATCGGCTGCTGTTGTGCGATGAGTTTCGGACCCACCTGACATACACCGGTCGCTTGCACTGTTTGCGACTGCTTCTGGCCCATGCCTGCACTGTGTCGTACCCGAGCATCGTCACACATGGCCCGGAACCGTAAACATGCTGAGTCATTGTCCCGTTCTCCTACGAAGCCAGACTTAGCGCAACAGAGCAATGGCACGGTTGCTACTGTCTCCTCTCCTTGTACGTCTTGCTGAGCTCGTGAGAATACGGTGTGGTCGGGTGGACACACATCTTGCATCTTGACGATCGGACCACGATCTCGAATGAGCCCGTATCCTGAGTCACATCATACATAGCCAGGCCTGACGAGCACAGACACATCAGCTGCCGTCGTCAAGTTTCGAAAATGGCAGCGATGTCTTGCCCACCAATCTTGAAATCCGCGAAGTACTGCACATCCTGTGTAGTTGCAAAACAAACAGAACGTTGAGATTAAGCATAACGCCCAAGCAATGCGCACTTAGATCAGCTCCCGCAGTGCACACAACTCGTGCAGGCAGGTCAAGCTTGAGTTGGTTTTTAGCTGATACAGCCTCGTGGTTGTGCAGCTGCTGGCGGAAGGACATGGACTGCCTGTCGCGGCTCAAGAGAGCGAAGCGAGCATGTTGGATGTGACCTGACTCAACCATATGCAGTCAAGATGCCCGGGACCCCTCGTCCGGAGCCTTCCAGCTGCAGCCAGCCCGAAGGCCAAGACCTGGGCTCTGGACCGAAATTTGATTATGATTGGAGTTATGAGATGTTACATGTTATGAGCACCTTATCGGCTCCTTTCTCGCCTTCGGCCGCAGCATGCCGCAGTCAATCAACTTTCGTACCACATGGCATGCCTCTGGTTGTCGAGCCATTCGGCTGAACGGCCACTAAGCCAGCGTTGGACAGCCCACAGCATAACCTCTGCCTGATGCTCATCAACGACATGCTGGCACTCGTTCCACTGAGAGACAGAACTGCACCACAAAGGCCCGCTACAAGCTGAGCCGTTGATGTTCTCATCGGTGTGACACAGATCTTTGCAGCAGCAGGTCTCACGCATCGTCAGGATTGCAGGATTACATGTTGACTCCATGAGTGATGCAAGGACATTCGGCGCGAAATCAAGGCGCCGCTTGAAAAGTACAACACATCCACACAAAAAGGAGACTGCTCCAGCTTGGTCCTCCAAGCATTTCCATTAAAGATTGCATGCACAATTACAACCAATAGACCGAAGCGTGATGCTCGGCGACTATCTGGTCTTCGACTGGTTCTATGACGAGCGGTCACTCACCATGCAGCCGGCTTTGCAGATTGCTGTCGGAGGAACCTGCCTGGCAAGTCTCAACAGGGCGATTGTGCTTCTTCACTTTGCTTCCGATGCTTCGCGTCAAGCAGACTTGCCGCCACAAGAAAGCTCTAGCCTGATTTCGCTGCATCTGCCACCGTCTGTGCTGGCACACCCAAAGGCTCGCCTGCTCTGTACAAGCTTTCCAGGCCGAGCGTCTACTGAACACACAAAGTTGCCGCCAATACAGCCCTCTCAGCAGGCCAGCGGAGCTTCTCGGAGTCGGCTGAAGCTGCTCAGCTAGCGCTCTACTCCGGTGAAACAATTACGAGTACGAAGGCGTGGCTTTTGCCAGCTGCCGGGTCAGACTTGTCCCGCTGCATGGACGAGCTGGGTAAAAGAAACCCATGTTTTCCCTGTGCTCAAGGCCTCAGGCAGTCTCATTTGCGAAGTGCTCTTCCACACTGCTGTCCATCCGCTTCCATCTATGTCTGCCAGAGTCCGCCTCAGCACTCACAAGCTCGCGCTCTCGTGCAGCTTGCATGTCTGTAGCAAACCCACATATAGTTGAATTCTCCAGATCACCCATCTGGCTTGAGGACTTTCGCTTGTATCCTTCCCACCTCCCAAATGAAGATCGAAACGAAGTAGCGAAGCGGATCAATGTGGGGCCAGGGGCAACTTCCTGTCCGAGACGGCTGAAAAAAGCTGGAAGTCCCGGCTCCGGTTTCGTGCAGCCTATCGCTACTGGCGTTGGCCTGGGAAGACTTTCAACCAGCCCGATGTCGAATGCCGGGCTGATTTGCTGCTTCGATTGTGTTGCTGTTGGTGTCTTTGCAATGGGCGCAAAGGCTCATCTAGACAAAACAGACACCTGCAGAAGGGCATAAAAGGTTTGCCGAAACAAACCCTGACTCATGCACGTGCCTACCATGCCCATAGTCGTGAAGTACTTCCTACGCACTTCCTTCGCGTGCACGGCATTGGCCTGGTGGCCAGCAGCCAGTTCGATCTGTTCATTTACTCGACTGTTGAATCAGGTTCGTCAGTTTGATGATGCCTTCTTCCTAGCAGTGGGTCTTTGTGAGTTCTTCCTCATTCATCCTTCAGCCTCTTGCCTTCTTTCTAGACACATTTATTGATACGTGTGCTGCAAAACCTGCTTAACAAATTTCCACACATGAGCGAAACGCCTCTACCAGGTTGTCAACCACCGCGTCGTGTGAAGAATGAAGAATCTAGCTCTTCCAGCTTTCCTCACTGACTTACCGGACCTCTCAACCAGTACTTGAAGTTTCTGTGGCATGCTTTCAGTTCAGACTCTGTTTACGTGTATATGGTTGGCAAGATGCGGCCTACCACTTCTGCAATGGCAGCGCATGTAAGCTTCAACCGCATGCCTGTGCTCCGAATTGTTTGGCAAGTGGCAGGTTTGAACTCCGTCCGTGCTCGGACAATCATTCCACTAGCACGCTTTGGCATTCAATACAAAGCTGAAGCTTGACATAAGGCATCTTCAGTCACCAATTTCACGCCCGAACCAGCTGCCGGCTGCTGTCTTTATCTGCGTTCGGTCTTGAACAACTCCGAGGCCAGTACTACTTTCAGTTTGCGCCGGGAGCGATGCTGAACGTACTGATAGTGGCTGCATGGCTGTTGCTTTGAAATGCTCGTCGCCGGACAGCAATGACATAAAAACTCCGCGATTTATGTCCCGAACACTGTTTTCAAACATGCAACAACAGCGCATGCCCAGGGCTCTTGCCTTGTGCCGTTCCAAGACGGCAATCCCACACAAGCCCCGGCGTGAATACGTGGAATTGCAGCAGCACATGTGGCCAACCCGTCGTCCTTCCTCCCATCCTGATCTTACAAGAGCCCTGTCTGCCAGAGGACATGCCCAGAGGAACAGGGGAACAGACTCAAGACACGTAGTTGTTCACATCAGAACAGCTCAGGATGCCACAGACTCACCACGATGAAATCTTTGCTGCCGATTAAACGCACAGCGCAAAGCCAAAGCAGCGCCGAAAGCCGACAACCTTGCAAGAAGCACACATTCGACAGGCCAGCATCGCGCAGGACATCTAGAGTCTAGAGGATGTGCGCAATCCCGCGGAGAAGGTTATGTCGGTGAGGTCGGCTGAGGCATTGACGCTGCGCTGCGACGACAGAGCCTTGCAGCATCTTCGTCGCCTGTGTCAGCCAGGAGCTCAAAAAGGGCAATCCCAAAGTCCGTCTTGAAGCTGCTCGTCATCAGACTATGCCACGGCTCCTCTGGCCAAGGCGGTCTGAGACATTCCGAACAGCGCGAAAGCCAACGCTGCAGCGAGCATCCAATCCTCCGGTCAAGGTGTGCTTCACTTTGACTGTTGATTGCGTGCGACACTCTTCTGAGATGCTTGCGGGTGGCATAGCGCAAGCAAACGGCCAAGCCCATGGCAGAAGTGAAGGTGGTCACGACAGCTGATGGAGACAGCAGGCGAACCTCTAATCGGTCGGCTAGCCGCTGCACCTGTGCAATGGACTGGGCTGTGGCATGCTGTGGCTCGTGGTTTGATGCCGCTCTATTCACAACTATTGATTTCGCCGGTTCGGGGGCCTGGAGGCAGAGCGCGACACCGACCCATGCAATACCTCCAGTGCTCTGCAGTTACCCTGCCACTGCCTACCAAAACACCTAACAACAGACAGAGGCAGGGAGGAGGGAGGGACACGGAGAGAGAGAAAGAGAGTGAGAAAAAAACCAAAGACGCGAGAGGATGATGGCAATGCGAGAGCTCACAGCCAAGTATTCAGCACACTGCAAAATTGGCATGGAAAGTCTGCGCTAAAATCGGCCCTGTGAAACAGATCGAAGAAAGTGTTGAATAAGAATTAAACGGATAGAAGCGATTTCCGGCGCTTTCTTGCCAAGGAGGGCATCACTTCTCGCGGATCCCAAATCGCAGCTACTGCTAGGAACACACTGGGTCGAAGCAGCGCACTCCACATTGGGGCCACTTTTAAGTGTTCCCGATAGTCAGGCGGCATACCAGTGGAGCCATAGCGTGTTGCTAACACTTGTGTTTCTCACGGTGAGTAGCAAACTGTAGTTTCTGATACCAGTGGAACGAAGCACCTAGCAGCACGTGCAGATGGGCACCGTGTGTAAGCTCGAATCCACAGCCAAGGAACTCAAGGAGCGGGAACAGCAATGCACTAGTCGAAAGTTTCACAAGAGTTATAAACTTCTCGAGCCCGTCCTGCTCCAGCAGCTGCTCGGATGATCCAGGGACTCAGGAATGCAGGACCAAAGTCCAGGTCTCGATATGCACAAAGAAGCCTGGGCGAGCCAGAATTCGCTTGCGAAATCCTGCAAGAATCTTCGTTGCAACCGAGGCCTTTTGTTGTGTTTTCCATGCAAGCCGCGGAGCGCTGCAAGCTGGCCGACGAGCAGCAGGATGACCAGGAGGAAGGAAGTCGTGCTGTCGCCTTGGTCCATTGTCGGACTCTTTCAGACTCTCAGCCTGTCAGCGAAGACCGAAGCTTCCGGTCGCCATTTCTACCAAGTGGCAATCAAACATGGTCATACACAACGCTTGAAGAAGAAAAGCCAATGACAGATAACCTCTCCTCCGTGCCTTGGCTTCAAGCCAGAGCGACTGGTCGCTAGCTTTGCAACGGAAGGACCCAAAACGTCGTAAAGCTCACTGTTCTGCCATGGCTCGTTGTAGCCACCCGCGTACAGCTCTTGCAGCTCTGCTCTAGACGCCAAAAAACCAAGGATGCTGGTAAGCTCCATAAGCCTGCAGTTGAAGCTTCGAGGAACCAACAAGTTGTTGATGCCATCTGATCCCCCTCGATGGTGCCAGTACAGGTTGCGAAACACACCTGGGCCACAACAGGGAACGAAGTAAGAGTTGCAAACACTCAGTCCACCCGTCCACCGTCGCAACAAATTGAATAAACGAAGAAAGTACATTCAGGCAGTGTGGCTGGCCAAACATGCCCCACAAAGCAAGGAGCTTGTCAAGCGCAGGCTCCTCGTGAAGTACCAGCTGGACGCCGCGCACTTCGCTAGGAGGTTCAGACTCTGACAGCTAATGCACGCTATCAAGTCGGAGAGACAAGCAGAAAAATGGAAGTAGCATCTTAAGAGAAATATCCGATACTACACCTGAGTGACGCATGCTAGGAGCATCCAGGAGCCCTCGGCGCCTGTCTGAAGTCAGAGCAAGCCCCATGGAGCCCATGGCATTGGAGCTTGACTGCTAACAGTGCTAGATCCGCTTCAGCTGAATTCTGACAGGAAAGAACATCACGACACAAAGGTAACAATCGCGCTATCCTGATGCTCACCTCCTCTCTCCACGACCAGGCTCTACAGCACATCCTCAAATGCTGACGAGCCATAATCGAAGACAACACCGCATGTTCGCAAGCGAAGTTGAGAAACACTTCCCCCCAATGAAAGACATTCATGGTGAATGAAATTGACTGTAACCTGGCGGTGGGCTTCCTGTTTCTCCACTGCCGCTGCAGTCTCGCAATTGCCCGCACCGTCCGGTTGCACTGCAGTCTCTTTTCAAAAAGAGGAGCGGGCTTCTGGCCTCTGCATTCTCGGCTGCGGACCCTGTCATCTACTCGGACTCTGTCTGCGGATAGAAGTGGTGGACTTTGATGCGCAAGTTTTCCTCAAGCTGACCCGACTTCTCCAAGCGACTCTTCACCTCACTGCAAAAGCAAAAGCGAGGGTCAACAGAATAGGCAAGGAGTTGCTCCCCCGATGTCCCAGCATGGCGACAGTTTATTCACACATACTACGCGCATGGAAACATGCTCCACGGTCAGGCAGCAAAACCCCATGGAAGCAAACCAACGAAACAACCGGCCAAATAACGAAACAACGAACCAGGAACGGAGTCAAGGAACCAACGAAGGGACAACGAACGAACGAATTAACCACCCACCAACCAAGCAACCAAGCAACCTACGAAGCAAGGAAGTAACGAATCAACGAACCAACGAACGACCAAGCGAGCAAACCGAACGAACGACACTGAAGCCAACCGAAATCAACCGGGATTCATGGGGCAGTGACACAGGGTTGTGTCGATGCAGGCATCAGGTGCATACCTGCCGAACAAGCCATCAACAAATTGGCAAAAACATGCAAAAGATTTCATGACTGAGGCAATACAGACTTATACAGATGAGGCATTTGCATTCATGCATATACAAGCAATGAGACGAACAAACAAATAGCTATTGTCAAGGACAGAGATAAGACTAGAGATCGACATGGAGATGGAGATCGAACTGGACATCGAGACAAGAGCTCAAACTCGTCAGGTCCAAACTCGTCCGGTCTTTTTTTGCACCTGTAGGAACAGATCATTTGGCCTTCAGCAAGGCGTGGGCGGAAGCGGTGCGATCTTGAACAGGTCGATGTGGTCGCATGTCGCCATTATGTAGCCAAGGGCTCAAACTCGCTCTGTCTTTTTCATGCTCGTGCAGGAGCAGATCAGAGAAAACCTCGTGCCATGTTTAGGCAGGTTTGTCTGCAGCTCAGCCAGTCCGTCCTGGGCAAAATGCCCGTGGTCACGTCTCCAGAGCCACGTTGACTTTGGTCTTCGAGAGGACAGCGAGGGAGGGTGTACTGAACCGTCGATGGAGATCTCCATTATCCGAATGGTCGCCACAGTCTGGGCCCGCTTGTCTTTGGACGACCTGCGAATGATGCGAATCCTCGTTCGCCATACGCAACCATGCAGCTCCGCCAACCGGGAGTGAAGACAGCTCAAGGCCTGGACCCACCACGAAAAAGGCTCAAGCCGTTGCAGAGCTCGCGAAAGCAAGTGCGCGGTGTCTGGCCCGAGGAGAGCCAAAGCTTCTCACAAGGCAGCAGCTTCTCGAAGGCGGGTCAATCCGCACCGCTGGTGCCGGGCAGCCGAAAACCTGGGTTTTGGTTCACTGGGTGTAAGGTGGGCGAGGTCGATGGTAATGATGGGTATTCCAGATCATATCCGAAGGCAACATAAAATCTCGTCGTTCAGCCGCCAAGGCCTCGCCCATCCTTGGGAGGCCACCTCACGCGACGGCGAGTATACCAGCTGCCTTGGCCAACAGAGCTGTCGCGACCAATGACAGCTTGCTGGCGGTGTGGTGCCTCCCCGACTCAGCTCGCCTCCACAAAAAAGGCGACGTCTCAGGCAGGCTGGAGCAGCCGCCTCATCTCTGGTACGGTGCGTATTGACGGGCGCCCTGCCTTGTAGAGCTCGTGGCCATACCTCGCCAAATACAGCTGATGGAGTCAACGTCATTGCTGCCCGGCTAGGGAGGCGCTGCCATCGACAACGCTGGAAAGCCATTGACACGAGCCCCTGTGGGCGTCATGTTGCTTTTGCATAGCAGGCTTGACAAATCGTGCCCTTTGCGCTCCCTTCGCAGATGGTTGCCAGCATGTTGGTGCACAACGGCTACATGTCACGAGGTGCTGGGACCCAGACCCTGAACCCGAAAAAGGAGCCCCGAAGACAAAAAGCAGCAAGGCAGCAGAGACGGCAAAGGAAAGCCAAACGTCTGGTCAAGGTCCAAAGGAGACAGGAAGGTGCCGAAGGAGCCGCCTGCAAGACACGAAGAGCTGCCAGCCGCCTTGCCTTGATTGCCGGAGCTGGTCGGACTCTTTTGTTTCAAGGGTTGCACGTACTCCGCAGCGCTTCGGGTCGTTCTTCCCCAACCTTTTGGACGTCGTTGTTTCCTCTGCCATTGCCCTTCTTCCCGCGCGCTTAGCGCTGCGGAGGCCTCTGAGTCAGGCTCGGGCAAACCCAAAACTATCTCGCGAGGCTTGTCAAGGCTTCCAGCTCGCCGTTCTGCGCAATTTATTGCAGGCTTGGAGGAGGAATCGTCGGAGAAATTGACTTGGTCGGTGCCCTCCTTCGACCAGTACGGAGCCTGAGGCTGCACGCGAGGCCTTCCACCCTTACAGATCGCTGTGTCCTTCCCACCTTGTCCTTGCAGCCCATGCAAACTGGGACTTGTCGGATTATCTGGATTACCTCGTTGTCACAAAGCGAGAGCCACAGTCGACCTTGTTGCCTCGATTGCCTCGACCTTGTTGCCTGGAGTCTCCCATGCCACGCGAGGCCCGGACCTGTCACGTGAGCGAGTCTTCCTACAGGGCTAGAGTTGGCCCGGCTTTGGGAATCACTTGGCCTTTTGAGGTCTCCACGTACGCCCATTTGCAACGCTGCGTCCAGCCTCAGGCTGCCCTGGTCGAAGACTTCGGCGCGTTCACCGGCCGGTCACGATCTGTTCGACGATCGTCTGTGACTGCATTACCTGCGAGGCTCCTGTACCCAGCCCACCTATCGACGTCGAGTTTGGTACGTCGGCTACTGCGAGGGCGCGAGGCACAGTTTTGAGAGCAACTCCCTTTTTCTCGTCGGCAGCCTCGAGAACTGCTTGTATTTCTTTGCTGTGCTTGCTCGCCACTAAGCTGCCTTGTCAACCTCCCCTGCCATCGGCTTTCAGGGGCCTTCCTCCCGTCCTTTTTGCAGCTGTGCTCCCGTCCTAAGGTCCTGAACCGTATCGCAGCTGTGGGACTCGCTTTGGGTGACCAGGAGACGCGTTGCCCTGAGCCAGCAAAGTTTGGGGGCACAGGCCCGACGGGCATGGCCAAAAAGAAGCTACGCGATATCCTTCTTCACTTTGCCACCGGAGGGCCCGTCACAAATGGGGGACTCCTCCCAAGGACGCAAAGGTCAAAGAATCCGCAAAGGAAGTCATTCTGCTTGCACGACAGGGAAGGGGCAAAGAGCACCGTGACAAAAGCACCTTGCTTCACCTTCCTCTGAAAAGCCGTGGCATATGGTAGAGGTTCCGGGAGCTTGCCATCAGCACAAAGGGGGATGCACCTCCTTTTTTTGTCACTCGTGCTCGACAAGTCAGACGGACCAAGAATCCATCGGCCGGGTTAGGGGCCCTAAGCCTGAGGTGATGGGTTAGGGTTGTCAAGGACATTGCCGTGTCGAAACGTCCTGCACGACAATCCTCTACGGCAGCAGCATCTCGATTTCTCTCACTCATCCAAGTACCCGGCTAAACCGGATCGAGCAAAAACGGCGAAGGTCAGGAACGGCCACGAGGAACGGAGGGTCAACCCAAAAAAGTTGGAAGCGGAAGGCGTAGAGGGTAGCCAGGGAGGCACCGGCACGGCCGTGCTGGAGCCATGAATCTTGAGTAGCTCGACATGTTAGCATTTCGCCCTCTGTAACAAGCAAGAGAGAGAGAGAGAGAGAGAGAGAGAGAGACAGAGACAGCGAGAGACACAGAGAGACATAGAGAGACATAGAGAGACGCAGATAGACGCAGATAGACGCAGATAGACGGAGAGCCGGGGAGCCGGAGAGAGATGAAGATGGAGCTAGGGCCAGAACTGCAAAAAAAGTCGCCAGCCAAATCCCATGGTGCCTAGGGTGCCTCTAGCCTGAAACCCCTCTGCCTGCGCATCATCTCCGTCAAGCATGCAGTACACAGGGCATCCCCGAACCTCATCCCCAGCGCTGCTGTGACTGAACGTCTCGGGGGAGAGGGCCAGGCTCGCCCTCCGTTCAGCATGGACTCTACGCCTGACTGCGCTGTTAACGGTCATTACATGGTCTGCATGATCGGGAAGTCGAGGGTCTCTTTCCTTCTGTGGCAGACTAAGGGCTAGGGCCAAGGGCCACGGAGTGCCCCCCCCCCCCAACGGGTGAAATCACTCAGTGTCATTGCTCCCATTTTGCCGGATGTGCTGTGCCGCTTACCCCCGAGCCACTTCTAGTCCTTTCACTCCACCCTGCGGGAGCATCTCTCTGTGTCGCTTGATCTCTGTTCTTGGAATCTTGGTGCTTTGGTAAATCGTGGTTGGTAGACCTATGAAACCACATCTGTCGCCACAACGCTCTGCGAGTCATGTCGTCCCTGACCGGGCAACCTGTGGCAACTCTAGCTAAGCCGGATGCATACAGGAACAGCGGGCTCTCCGCGAAGTGGTCGTAGTTGTCGCAGCCGTACGGTGTATGGCACCACAGGTAGAAATAGCCCAGACCTATGCAGCTGGCACACGGGACAGTCTGGTGCAACTAGTTTGTTCTTACACTAGGTATCGGAAAAACAAGAAGTGAAAATGGAACATTGAGTTTCCGCTCAAATTCTGCTGGAGCGCCAGAGAAGAAGGAAATTTGAACGTAGCGCAGCATGAAGCGAACCTGCCATCAGCTTCAATCAAGGGCAGAGCTGACCGGTGCACTCCCGAACCTAACACAACTAGCGCACCCATGCCGGATGGCGCGTTGTCGCACCTTATCGCGACTGAAGTACGGGAAGAAGCGAAAGACCCAGTCCACCGGCACGAAAGGGAAGGAGTCACTGCTGGCCTCAAGGCAAGCGAGAAAGGAGCCCAGCAGCACGGCACACGCACATCCTCATGAGGTCGCCGTGGGCCGTGGGCTCTCCGAGGCAGGGCCTGCGTCAGGCTCCGGGGCAGCGTAGCTGTCCGAAGAGCCAGAGCTGCTCGGAGCAGAGCCATGGCTGTCACGAAAAGGGGAACAAAGGAGCCGGAGCCTCTGAGCCTCTGAGCCAAAGAGTCCCATGCGACAGTCCCCAAAACAACGCGGAAAGCTTACCTATCCTCACTTGCTCAAGTTCGATCACTCGCACAGGCTTCCAGCTCCTGAGCACTGAGCACGCAAGGCATTTGCAGAACACCCCTGCCTTCCTCACTCGCCGGCCGACGGCAAAGACGGATGGGCCGAGTGCAGAGTAGATACAAAATGTGTTCCCGGGACAATGCTTGAGCCCGGTTGGGTGCCAGACAACAAGAGGTCAGAGAAGCCAAAGTGCACAACCCAGCGATGTGGCACGACAAGATGGCACACATGGCCAACATGAAGATAAGCCCCGCACCACCTTCATTAAGCGGAGCATCCTTGCATGACTATCTTGTGATTCTTATCGGCAATAAATTGCTTTTGCAGCCTGCAACGAAGCCGGCTGCCGCCAAGACACTCTCGACGACCGTGGAGGATGGAGATTCTGCCACAGCAACGAACCCTTCCTCTTGAGGCAGTAGCGGCCGCGGTAAGCCAGCCATCATGATTCCCGTGTAGCCGTTCGGTCGCAAGAAAGCAGTCTTCTCCCAGTGCTACCGCAGCAAGCATGCTGCGAGCAATGAAGCCTAAGGCCCCCGTGTCCAGTTGTAGCATTAAACCAACGCTGCTAAACACATGAAATCACACCTTGTCAGCCATCGAGGCCGCTATCTCGGTCGGAGCACCATCAATCTCCGGGCATTTCAGCAAGGCCTGCAGTCTTCCACTGCCGGTGGAAAGTACTAAAGGCTGTCACCTTCGAAGCAAAAAATTCCGCCTGCGCAGCGTTCAAGCACAACGCCACGAAGGTGCGCTGCCCGTCCTTGCAATGCGAGCCGCGCAATGCCGTGCAGTTATGCATCACTTCTGAAGATCACTTCTGAAGGTCTACTCACTTAGCCCACTTAGCCCCACTCCAGCACTCGACCCGTCCTCACCTAACCTGTCCGCGCCGAATGCCTCCAGCTCGTCGATGTTGCATCTCCACACCTTACAACTTAGGTACGACCAAGAGCAAACATCGCGGCCACGGGGCCTGGTAGGCCCTGTAGTACTGGCCGGACTGGAAAAGCGCAACACCTTCTGCCTCGACAAACACGAACGAATATCAAGCAAAGGGAATGAACGATCCCATGAAGCGAAGCCTCCGACAGCACCTGATGCCTCGACAATCCTCGGCGCACTTATGAAGCTGACGGCATGCCTTGTTCAGCTCTGCGTTCTGGACCTGAGAAGCCACCACCGCTTCGCGCATCCAAAGGGTGCCAACGAGATAGCAATGAGCTGCTGACGAGTTTGCCGACCTGCACCGGGGAAGGCGCATCGGCTGCGGGAACTGCCGGAAAGTCCCCTTTCCGCCTGGGGCTGGGCCAGGCCGGAGACGGCAGGTGCCTCCACGGGGCCTGCAACTCGAGGGAACTTGGGCACTGCTGGTCCGAAGCGATCGCTGCCTGCATAGCCAGCCATCGACCCTCGGAGGCTTGGGCTCCGAGATGTTCCAGGGAACGCCCAAACGCATTAAACGTGTGCATCTGCAAACCGCGTACGTCTGAATCCAATTGCCAGCTACATTGCTTCCTTGTACGTCCTTTTCCGATAAAGTTTGCCGGCGGCACAGAACCAGTAAGGCACGAGCTACAGCCGTCGATGGGGGTCGTCTGGCTTATGTTGTCCGAGAGTAGACCTCTGGTCTGCAGGAAGACCCTCATCTGACGAAAACGGTGTCGAGAGCTTGCTGCCACTACGGCATCTCTGTTCTCCAAGCACAGGGCCGCTTGCATTCACTGCCTGAGACTGAGAAACTTCAGAGCGGGGCCAAGTCTGCAGCTTCTACTGCGCTGTTACGGGAATATCTCCAGAGTACTCTCAATTGCAGTCCTTCTTCACTGCAGAAGTGGCCAGACAAGTCCGAACACGAAACGGTCGGGCCTTGAGTTCAGGAAGATCTTGCGGCACGGCATCGTCCTGTCGTGCAGTCAGGTTCTGCCTTGAGTCCCCACCGGCACGCCAGAAGCCAAAAAAGGACTGAGCTGCAGCTTGACTGTGCAGCGAACACTGCCAATCGTGGCTCCCTGGGAAAGTCTTGCGGTGCTCGGGTCCACAGCCACGCTCCGCTGTGGTTTCCACGGGCTGCTGCGCGGCTTCACGCTCGTGCCGGTCCCCAAATTGATTGCAGCCCGTGCGGCTGAACGGTCTGAGGCCCGTGCAATGTCGCCTGCAGATTGAAAACTCTCTAGCCCCGTGAAGTGACTGTGCTTCTGCCTCCAGCAGAATAAGCTGGACGAAAGCAACCACCCTCAACCTGTAGGCTAGTGTATGATAGCGTATGTTCAGTTCTTGCTGTCACCTCTTCGTCCTGTGGCTTGGCCTGTGGGTTTCGGCTCGGCTCGCTTCCATTCGTGCGAGGCCAAGAAAAGTCCCCTCGATGGCTGTGCGTTGGTTCACGAGTCCACGAGTCGCTTGACTCTTCCCTCTGTTTGGACTGTTTAAACTTCGCTTTCCCCTCTCTTGTCCTGTGGTCTCGACTTTTACTTCGGCTCCGTGGTCTTGCTTGCTTGCTTGCTGACGGGTATGGGGACCCGTGTCCCCTGGCCCGAAGGCCTACCCGCTCCACGGTTCGTGTCTGCAAGGTCTGTGTGGCCCCTTCCGGGGGTGGGAGTGCTCCGTGGTCTCTCATCCAGTCTTTGCTCCATTGTGAAACTCGCTCGCAGGATCTGGTGCAGAGTTATCTATGCGCTGGCAGGGAGCGAGAGAGCTTGTTCAGGCTGCATTACGCTCTCGCTCTCGCGGCTGCATTAGGGAATCTCGCAGTGAATCCGAAACCGCGGCGGGCACACCTGCGCTGCATCCGGGAGTGGCCTGTCCTTCAAGATGCTTCAATGCTCCCGTTTACGCATGGCTTGTCTATTCTGTTGAGAAGCGCCTCATCCAGCCTCCGGGCTTCTGTCGTCTGCGAGTCGGCCTGGACTGAAGAGCGGACACCAAGAATCACAATTGGTCAGAAGTGCTCAGGTTAAGGCATAGGGCATAGAAGCCATAGAGTCGAGCATGACAAGGTGTAATTGCCGACTGTCCTTTTTGTTGAGACTTGGCAGCGCATCCTAGAGGTCCTAGCTACGGTTGCTGAAGGCTCACAGCCCAGCCAATGAGGATTACGGCACTGAGTCCTTCGGACTTCAGGCAATCCTCTCAGAATAGCCGGTAGCGTTTTCAGACGTCACAACGCAGCCTTGGTCAGAGATGCCTGCGGCAGGCACAGGACTCTGCGGGCTCTCCGATGCAAGAGAAGTGGAGCCTCTGTTTCTTCAGCCGCCTCTTCAAAAGAAGATCCACTCCGCATAAGGCGAAGCGACTTGGCAGTACGGGAGCTGAAGAAGTTTGGAAAGAAAAACGCTCAGATAAGCTGTCAAAGCAGCTGAGTCTGGCACAGCACTGCGCTTGAGCTCGTATTCCGAGCATACACGCCTCAGGTCCTCCAGGCTCATTTCGTGCATGCAGATCTGCATGCATAGCCTGTGCAGGATTGTACGAGGCTTGCTTGAAACAGGTTCAGCCAAAGCTCCCTTGATTGAAACGCAGACAAGTGCAGGCTTGGTTTAGCCACAACGCGGCCTGACTGGTCGATGGTCGGAGAACGTCGTGCTGTCAAGCAGCTCCTCAAGGAATGCTCAGGCGTGCAGAACATCACCCGAATAAGAGCAGTCTATTTGCCAAGAATCATATCGCAGCAAGCCTTCTTGCTTGACCTTTCGACGGGCACGCCATATCACGCGGTCACACCACGCAGGCGTGCGCTTGTCATCCTTAAACATGCGACCATCGACGCATAGGTGCTGGAACATCGCCACACACATTCATTCAGTGATCAAACCCTGTGCAGAACCCCACACAGCAAAAGATGACGACCACGTCGCGCACTCTACATTGCGGCGTGCAATGATGTGGCCGTTACCTACAACACTTAGCCAGCGACGACTGAGTGCAGCAAGGCATCATACTGACCACACAGAGCTTCAAGGAGCTTTGCTTCTTGCATTGTTTCGTCTTTGTTAGACTTGCTCGGCATCGGGCAAAATTTGTAGCCTCACGGCCCAGTCTGGCTCAGCAAATTCACCATCCCAGCTCACGACGACTAAAGACGAAGGGTAGATAATGCAGCTGGGAACTTGGGCGGAAGTGGATCGGAGCTTCTTCAAAAGCCGCAAAGGAACCACTGGCAAGTCGTCGACGGTGCAACTCATCGCACTCAAGCCTTCAGATGTAAGTTTGCTCACACACGAACCTGCGGCTGTAATTGCTGACAAGGGACAATCGTTGCAGCTGGTGCTGCTGTAGCAACGACACAACCTGCTGCAGGACAAAAGTGTCCGTGCACGAAATGCAGTCTCCTGCTGGATGACGTCATGCCCCAACCGGTCATGTTTTCCACGACGGCCACCCAGCATGACAAACGGTGGTGCTTTGCAATACCTGGTCCCGTCTGAAAACCAGCAGCCTCGGTCCGATGCATCACATCTGTCATCTCCACGTCCCGCCAGAGTCGCATGTTCAAATCGCCTGCTGATGAGACACATTTGCCACACATGAGTGCTGAAAGGACTGCCAGACATGCCAAAAGCCGCTTCACTCCATCTAATCAGACGGTAGTGATTGAATGGTGAACGCACCGACTGCTTGAGCAGCAATGGTGTGCACAACGAAATGTCTTCGAGTCATCCTGCGTTTCAGTTACCACAGCTCGCACACGCTGGTTATGCAGCTTCGCTCTCTTTCCGTTGGGCCAGCCGAAAACTATAGCTGCGAACTCAACGAATCAAAACGGCAAGGCCTGCTCCAACGCCCGAACATAACCTTATGTTACAGTCTTCGTGCCCGCCTGCCCAAACAACGAGGTCGTGCTCAAAGATATTGCCTTTTGGGGAAAGTGGGCATGAGATGGTCAAGGCAGAATGCACCATGAAAGCATGAAGGGTTTCCGCTATATAGCAGCGAATGGAAGACAACGGCAAAAAGCACACCGATCAACACGAAGTGCAGCTACTCCCAACAATACTCGAGACCTGCACTCCCGATCACCACGAAGCAAATCAACAAGTTTGAATTGTCGCTTGAGAAACAAGCAACCTTTGACCTGGTCTCAATTTGTCAGAATCTGACCAGTGAGAATGTTTGTTGTGCTCTGCATGCTGTTTTGCTCCGTGCCGTTTGCTGTTGCACATGTACTTTTAGTGCTCGCTACATGTTGTAGCAGGACGCACTGGCAAGTGCCATAAAACAAGACGTCCTGGACGTTGATTTTGCACTGCACGCGAGCCTCACTTGAAGCCCTCTCCTACGTTTGAGAAAACATCAACGAAGAAACAAAGAACGGCTTGCTGATGTTGTTTTTTGCTGCCAGAGTACGCCTCACAAATGGCCTCCTGCTAAAAGTTTTCACGAAATCACAGCTTCAGCCAATGACTTCGGCCACGTACAAGTAGCAAAAAGGGTAGTGTCAAAATCGTTGCTTCCTTTGTGTCTTAAGTCGTATTTGTGGTTCTTTTGGTGATGTGGGGGTGTCAGGTTCTGACACGCTGCTTTTGGGGTCTGATGCGCTGGGGTCAGGGCCTGATGCCTCCTCCTGAAATTTCCTGTCTGTCCCCCCCGCTCACCCTCCCCTCATTGCCTTCATACATGTACATACGTATGCAGAAAAGTATCTAATTAAAAATGTGTAAAGTATACATATACATGCTGTGCTCTGCTCTAACCCACTCTAACTCAACTCTACTCTATTCTACTCTCTACTTGTACTTTCTGCTTTCTACTTATGCTAGGCTCTGCTTTGCTATGCTCTGAGATGCTATACTTTACTCCCCCGTCCTCTCCTCCACTCTCTGATGCTACATTTTGGTTTTCTGTCACAACCTAAGTCTTACTCAGCGCTAAATTCCTTTATATACCAAATAACCACGGGCCTCACATCCCAGAAGCCTTCGGACCTAGGCGCCAAACTCAAGAACTCTCAATTTTGCCTCCCGCCGGGCTTTTCTCAATAACCCAAGGCACGAAGCCCAAAAGACCTAAGCCCAAGAGCCCTAAGCGCTACTAACTACTAATCCCAAGAACTCGAAGCCCTTCTAAGTCCGAAGCCCTAAACCCAAGAATCCCTAAGACCTAAACCTGCGGCTCTCACCATCACCCACCGTTGCCGGTGGCAAACCCCAACAGATCGGCCCCTAAATCCCAGAGGATGCTGCAACAGCAAAATCACCCACAAGATGTTGTAACAGATCGCTGACAGATCGGCTCTTGAAGTCTGCCAACGGATGCTGCAAGAGATCGGCTTCTGAAGTGACCAAACCAAGCCCTAAAATTTTGCTAAAGATGCTGTAACGGATCAGCTCCCCAAATCATCCACAGGATGCTGCAACTAATGACCAGGGGATGCTAAAACAGATCAGAACCCCAAACCCAAGAACCCTGCGCCCTCCTAAGCCCTCGATCCAAGAACCCTGAGCCCCACGAAAACCTAAGCCCAAGAACCCCCCGGCCCAACAACCCTGAGCTCTCCCTAAGCCTTAGACCCAGAAAATCCTGAGCCATAATGAGCCATAAACGCAAGAAGCCTAAGCGCAAACCCAAGAACTCTAGCCCTAAAGCCCCAAATCCAAAAGCTTTTAGCCCTGAGGCCCCAAACCCAGGAACCCTTTTGAACCCAGACTCTGCCGATCAGGAACCCTAAGCCCTAAACCCAGGGGCCCTGAACGTTAAAGCGAGAACCCCAAACACCAAGCATTAAGTCCAAAAAACACTGAGCCTTAAACCCAAGAGCCCAAACCATAAACTCAAATGGCAAAGTTCACAAGCCCGGCAACTCTGAGCCCTCAACCCAAGAACCCTAAGCCCTGAACTCAAGAACCCAACGCCTCAAACCCAAGAAACCCAAGCCATAAACTCATAAACGCAAGAACCCTAAGCGCTAACCCTAGAACCCTAAGCCTTACTTCCAACCCTAAGCTCTTTCCGCATCCGGGCCCACTGCGACTGCCGGGTAGCCGCCCTGAAGAAAAGAAGCCCTCGCCCTGAACCCAAGAACCTTAAGCCCTTAGCTACTCCCAAGAACCCTAAGGCCTACGCTAGAGACCCTAAGCCCGAAACCCAAGAACCTTCAGCCGTAAACCCAAAAAGACATTATCTTTTATATTCTATGATTTCATATTATATCGGTATTTTATCTGTGTCTTACATGGTATGACATGGTGTGATACGAAATGATATGGTAAGATATGATATGAAGATGTGAAGAAGTTGCTGGATCGGAAAGGATCGGGTATGATGTGATATGATATGGTATGTTCTGGTATGGTATGGAATGAATCGGCGTGATCTGACCTGGTATGATGCCATGTGCTAAAAAATACTATGCCATGAATGCTATGATATGAAGCGCATGATGAGAGAGTGCCTGGTATCCAAAAGTATGGTTTGGTGCGATATAAGCTGGTATGATGTGGCATGAAATGATGTGATGCGGGATGAACTGATATGACATGACATGTTATGGTATGATATGGAATGATATGACATGCCATGCCACGATATGACATGACACACTGTGATATGATATGACATGATATGGTAAGACATGTTTGACATAATATGCTAATATATGACTTGGCAGAAGGTGAAGTAACCCGAGCTGCTTCATCTGTGATGGCAAATATGATGTGATTTGACTTGGTTGGACTTGATCTGATATGATGTAATCTAATCTGACTGACCTGATCTGATATTCTGTTGTGATGCAACATACGATAAGATTCAAGCCCTATGCTCTTCATGGGCGAGGCCCGTTTTTCGCCATTTTGGTGCTGGCAGACCGTTTTCCACCACTATGCCATGCATGGCCTTTAGGGATTACATTGTCTCTACGGTTTAGGGCCGACTGTGCACTGTACACATGTTTTGTTGTGCTAAGCTGCTAATCCGCAAACAGCTCATGGAAAGAAGGCAAATTTCCGACCACATGCCTCAAAAAAACGACCTTCGGACTAATTGGTACACACGAGTACGTGTGTCTGTAAACTGCTGTGGCAACGCGCAAACAACTCATGGCAAGAAGCCAAAAGCCGACCATATGCAAAGACCAGAAACCTCCGGAACTCATCTCATCTACTAGTGTCATTGCAATGATCCGCGTGCGCGCCAGAGAGCGACAAGAGCACCATCGGCAACGGAAAGAAACAGAAAGCCGCCACCCCTGTTTCAAACGGACGCGTGGTGTCGCCAGCTACGCGCGTTGCACGACTCAGGCGGGCGGATACGGAGGAGAGCTCCAGCAGTGAGTTCGAAATTGCAAAAACCTCTAAAATCGCAGCGAAGGCCCACCTTGGCAAGATCGCTGCTACGTTGCAATGGGCAGTGCAGTAGCAACCGGAATAAAGATAACTGTACTCCTGAGAAAAAGCTGCAAGCATACTTCTACAGGTTTGCTAGCTGCTAAGAAGCCAATCCAATATGTCTACAACATGCACAGCATGCGACGAGTCGGCCGTACAAACCCTCGAGCGAGAACACAGGCACCATGCCGCTTGGCAAGCGGTTGGAAAACCCTCAATCTTGAAAGGACTTGTTGACAAAAAACCAAACCTTAGAGGAAGATGGTGGTTGGAAAACCACAAACCCTAAAACGAGACGATGATGGCTGGCATGCCAAACCCTAAGAACAAGATGTTGGCCAAACCCTAGGCCCTGCAAAAAAACATGTTTGTGATAAAGACCTAAAGTTTGAAAACCCAAACCCTAAATCCGCCGAGGCCAGAGGCCCAGGCGTTTTGGTGGTTACCTCAGGTACCCTCCACCTAATCCTCCTCCCTGCAGCCCAAATCATTGGTGACACCCTGTTTTTGCGTTCGTTTGCCACCCCCTTGCCCGGCCAAATCGGCTTCCCCGCCCTCCCAGGCCTCCACCCCCCCCCCCTCCTCCACCCACCCTCCCCCTCCCCTTCACCCTCTCCCTCTGCCCCTCCCCCCCCCCCCCCCCCTCCCCCCCCTCCCCCTGCCCCCCCCCACCCTCCCCCCCTCTCCTGGCCTCCCTTCCTCACCCCCGCCCTCCCGCTTCTCCTCCCCCTCCCCTTCGCCCCTCCCTCGCCCCCCCTTTGGCTTTTGCGTCAATCCACTGCCTTTCTTTCTTTTCAGGCTCCTTCTGTCTTGCCTTTTCTTGTTCCGGGCGGCATCATTGCGGGCTTGGGTTTGCGGGGACCGCCTACCATGTGCCTGCATCATCCGCTGCACCCTCGCCCTGCCACTACAGAGCCGAGGCGGGCGGCGTAGCGTTAAAATTAAACCCAACGAGGAGATCTTGGCGAGCAAACCTTAACCCTAAAAGAAATGTTGGCGCGAAAAACCTAAACCCGAAAAGATTATGTAGGTGAGCATAACTGAAAACTTCAACAAGAAGTGGTTGTTGGAAAACCCAACCCCAAAGGCCCCTGACCCTAAAATAAAGCTCCACGAGGAGACGTTGGCGAGCAAACCTGTTGCTGAAACCCAAACCCGAAAATGAGCAATCTTCAAGCTTTGAAAGGAAACGGTTTTTGGAAAACACCGAAAACAAACCCGACGAGGAGATGTTGGCGAGCGAACCTAAACCTAAAACGGGTTGGTGAGAAATACCAAAACACGAAAAGGAGATGAGGGTGAGTAAATTTCAACCTTTGAAAGAAATGGTTGTTGGAAAACCCCAAACGGCCAAGCAAACCCCACGAGGAAGTGCTGGTGAGCAAACCGAGACCCAACAAGAAATGCTGGTGGATAAAAACCCAACTCGAAAAGGAGATGTTCGTAAGCAAATTTCGAACCTTGAACCGAAAACCCCAAACCCTGAAACAAACCCAACGATGAGATGCTGGCAAGCTAACCTAAACCCTAAAGAAGAGCTGCTTGTGAGAAAAACTCAAACCCGAAAAGAGGATGTTGGTCAGCAAGTTTCAAACCTTGTAAGGAAATGTTTTTGGAAAACCCCGAGCCCGAAAACAAACCCAACGATGAGATGCTGGCGACCAAACCTAAACCCTGAAAGAAGTCCTGGTGGGAAAAAACTAAACCCGAAAAGGAGACGTTGGTGAGCAAAACTGCAACCCTTTAAAGGAAATGGTTGTTGGAAAACCCGAAACCCCAACACAAACCAAGGACATGTTAGTGAGAAAACCTAAAGCCTAAAAGAGCTGTCGGTGAGAAAATCTCAAACCCGAAAAGAGGATGTTGGTCAGCAAGTTTCAACCCTTGAAACGAAATGGATTTTTGGAAACCCCGAACCCTGAAATAAACCCAACGATAAGATGCTGGCGAGGAAACCTAAACCCTGAAAGAGGTCTTGGTGGGAAACAACTAAACCCGAAAAGGAGATGTTGGTGAGCAAACTGCAACCCTTTAAAGCAAATGGTTGTTGGAAAACCCGAAACTCCAACACAAACCAAACAAGGACATGTTAGCGAGAAAACCTAAAGCCTAAAAGAGCTGTCGGTGAGAAAAACCGCAACCCTGAAAAGAGGATGTTGGTGAGCAAACTTTCAAACCTCAACAAATGGTGTTGGAAAACCCCAAACCCTAAAACAAACCCAACACGATGAGATGCAGGCGAGCAAACCTAAACCCTGAAAGAGGAACTGTTGGTCAGAAAAACTCAAACCCGAAAAGAGGATGTTGGTCAGCAAGTTTCAACCCTTGAAACGAAATGGTTTTTGGAAACCCCGAACCCTGAAATAAACCCAACGATAAGATGCTGGCGAGGAAACCTAAACCCTGAAAGAGGTCTTGGTGGGAAACGACTAAACCCGAAAAGGAGATGTTGGTGAGCAAACTGCAACCCTTTAAAGCAAATGGTTGTTGGAAAACCCGAAACTCCAACACAAACCAAACAAGGACATGTTAGCGAGAAAACCTAAAGCCTAAAAGAGCTGTCGGTGAGAAAAACCGCAACCCTAAAAAGAGGATGTTGGTGAGCAAACTTTCAAACCTCAACAAATGGTGTTGGAAAACCCCAAACCCTAAAACAAACCCAACACGATGAGATGCAGGCGAGCAAACCTAAACCCTGAAAGAGGAACTGTTGGTCAGAAAAACTCAAACCCGAAAAGAGGATGTTGGTCAGCAAATTTCAACCCTTGAAACGAAATGGTTTTTGGAAACCCCGAACCCTAAAAGAAACCCAACGATGAGATGCTGGCGAGGAAACCTAAACCCTGAAAGAAGTCTTGGTGGGAAAAACTAAACCCGAAAAGAGGATGTTGGTGAACAAACTGTGAACCTTGAGAGTAACGAACCCAACGAAGCGATGAGCAAACTTCAAAACTTGAAAGGACATGGTTGATGGAAAACCCCAAACCCTAAACAAATCCAACAAGGAGATCTTGGCGAGAAACCTAAACCCTAAAAGAACTGCCACCGAGAAAAAGAACAACGCCAAAAGAGGATGTTGGTGAGCAAACTTCAACCCTTGAAAGGACATGGTTTTTGGAAAACCCCAAAGCCTAAAAACAAACCCAACGATGCGAGCAACCTTAGAAAAATGTTGGTGGGACAACCCAAACCCGAAATGGGCGATGGGGGGCAAACCGAACCCTAGAAAGAGACGATGGCAGGCAAACCCGAACCTTACAAGGAGACGAGTAGTCAAACATACTACCACAGAAGTCCGCCTTTGTCCATTCCTTCCTACATGCCGCCAAAGCTTGTTTGATCCAACTTCGCTTTTGTTGATTCGATTTGGATTTCTCCACAAACCTGATCCTGCAGGAGGTGGACACTCGCCACCAAAAAGTGTCAACACAAATCACAATACGAATGCACTGTCGCTCCTTCCCGCCGTGCATGGACGCAAAGACATACATCGTCTGAACGGCGTGTTTTTCGAGATCGAGAAATGCCATCAAACTCGAGGCTGAGCCACAGTGTACCGCGACTGCATGTACGGGCCGTGGTTGCTGACTTTTGCTGGTGCTGGGCAGCTGGACTATGTTTTACGCTGCGCTTGAGGATTCACGTCAGCTCTGCCATCCGAGATACGAGCATCTCGTACATCCACAGGGCCCACCGTGCAATCTGCGGAGCTGCCCGTCAGGCGCAATGTCTGTATGATGTAGTCGAAGTCCTACGGGAACGGAGAGCTTGGTCGGTCCATTGGACATTCGGGTCTTTCATCTTGTCATGGCAACCAAGTCCTGAGATCTCTCCTGTGAGCTCGAGGTGCTCTCGCCAGCTGCTAAGTGCGCATTGACGAAGCAGAAGGACGTGGATCCCATGACCTGGTCAACTAGAGCACCCGCAAAGTCTCTCTTGGAAGACAAGCGCATGCACAAGATGCTGAGTAAAGACTCGCTCTAGCCACACAAACGCGTTTCCCGTCAGAATGACAGACACTTTCCGCCATCACTCACAACCGCATCGAGGTGGCAGATCATGTAGGTTCATGGAGCATGTGCACTGCCTATTCAAGCATGTCACACACTGCAGATTGGGTTGTGAGCAGCAATACCGCCTGGAACTCAGACGATAAAACTTCGGGCATTGCTCGGTGCACACTCACAGGCAGAATCTCAAAAAACTCAACGAATTCCCTGTGAGCGGCAAGTCCAAAAGCCACTGCGCCCTTGTTGCCAGCTCCCAGTGTCCCACAGCGGGCGGATCCCCAGCAAGTCCTCAGTATCTACCAGTGCAGAGACTGGCTTAAAGATCAGAAAGTAGATGTTGAAAGCCGAGAGTCTGGGACACCTGTGGTGCCAAATCCTCAAGAACGTATAGCAGCAACTGCAATCCAACCATGGCATAGTCGGCCACAAGCCGGTACTCGCCTCAGCTGCAGGCTTGCAATGTACACTGGGCCGTTGCCTTTTCCAGCTCTGGCAAGCAGCCTCGACGCTTCACGGCTGCTGTGACTGAAGAGCTCCAGGCTTTGTGATATTGTGCACTGGCGATCTCCGTCACGTCGATTGCAAGCGCCAATGGGCACGTCTCCTGGAGTGCCACGAAAACAATGTCCTGGGACTTCCGAGCTGGCCATGGGAAGTGCAAACTCGACCGTGTGGAGCAGGGCATTTGGATTCGACTTGCTTCCGCACAATCAATTCGAACTAGTGATATCGATCTCCTGACAATGCACACCAACCTGAACAAATACATTCAGGCCATGCTAAAAGGCTATTTGGGTTTTGCACATTGACATTATCGCAAATTTGTCATGCTACGTTTGTGAAAACTAGCGTGTGAAGGACGCGATGTTTTGACGGAGATTGGGACGCTTCGACGTCAGAACGTCCGTACTGGCTTTTGGCCATACTGCTGCCATACATCCCAAATGTGCGCATTCTAATCGACTCTAATCTCCAAAGGATGTTATAGCAAGCAACACTTCCAACCTGAGCTACAATACATCACGCTCGCTTCCAGATTGTGACTGTCAATAGTCGGAAGCTGCAAAGACCACGGACCACTCACACAATAAGAGGCAGACTACGTAGACGCATTTTCGGAAAACACTCTTGCACTCTGTAATGACACCACCGATAAAGTACACTAAAGTGCAGTTTAATTCCAGAGTATGGACATCTCCAGTTAGGCCAAGATGTTGGTAACAATCCGCCGGCCAGACATGTTCATGGAAGGAAGTTTTTCCCGAATCGTGAGCAGAACCGGTGCAAATGTGTCTGCGAACCTTTCGAAAGCATGGGCGATACGTTCGCAAACATCGAGTGGGGTCGCCATTGGGGGTAACGTCCTGCTTCGTCCGGGACCAGCACACAGGGAAGGAAATCACGACTGGTTGTGTTTACAATTGCCGCATCTGGAACAAACAGCAGATACATAGCACTGGAAGCTGGCATAAGCTGCAGCAGGTGTCTGGCGATGGCTCGCTCTCCACGAAGAAGTTTTGGATGTCGTGCACCATGGGTTTCTGGGAAGCACAATTGAATGTGACCTGGCAAGCTAAGAAATTTCCCTGCGTGACAACCGATGACTTTGGTTGCAATCCCAGTCACTGTCATTATACTGCGTCTCGCTTCTTCTGAAAACTCTGTCTGACGTTCCTTCAGAAATGGAAGGATCTTCCTCGGTGACAAGCCATGCAACAAAGCTCAATGCAGCTCCTGATGAGCCTTTCTTGTGGCGACGTGCCCTGCAGCCCAGCATCTTCCATGATACATGCGGCTCAACAAGCATACTAATGTGCCTTGGTTTGCCATGCGCAGCCATAGGTCTGCACATCGCATATCAGGCCCCTCTCGAAGCGACACCCACTCGGACACTAATTGACATTCCGACGAGGAACGTGTCTTGAAATATCAGCGATGTCATCTTCTTAGGCTTCTTGCGCTGCCACATGGGCTGTGACGCTTTCTGGACGGCCATGGGTAGTCGATCGACGCCGTAGCCTGAGCCCATCCATCGCTTTGAACTCCACTAATGCTCCGACATCATCGAACCGCGCCAAGCTGTGTGGAAGGCGCGGTGCGTGGCATGATCGTAAGTTTGGCTGAGACAGCTTCATGAAGAGACGAAGGTCCCATCCCCCTGCAGAGCCTGATCCAAACGTTGTCTGTCAGTTAACCTTAGCTTGCCTGTAATGGTGCTCGCTATTGCCGGTGCAAGGTTTCCAGATAGTTCCAGAGACTGTAACGAAGGGGTCCCCCACACCTTTGCGAGGACTGGCGGGTGTTCACAGAGAATTTCGGTTGGGTTCAGGGTTTACTGAAGGGTTCGGAAGGCTTCGAAGGCAAAGACTGCAGAGGTTAACACAGCGGCCCTGTCGTGGCTCGTGTGTTGCAGGGTTTTCAGAAGCTTGCGGAAGAGTTGAGTAGGCTTCGGCAATGCTGCAGCTGACGATGCCCCTTGACTGCGAGGCATTACAGTACTTTGGGACCCAGAAAGAGCTCGCGGAGCAGAAGAGAGTCGAGACTTGGCAGCTAGGCGTGGAAATAGTCCGTTGCGACCCATGACCAGTTTTCATTCCAAGGTGCAATCTCTAGGCATGTGGAGGACATTTTGCATATGGATAGCATCAAAAGGACCACGTTTGACAAGAGTGACATCGAACAAAGAGTCACATTGGCTGTGGCACATGTCTGCGGAAGGTTCAAGTCTTTCTTCAGCACCTTAGGGGTGCAGGCGAGTTGCTGTAGATCCAGTCGTGATTCGTCTCTTTGGACGGGAAGAAGTACCGATGGCTATGGGCAGTGCTGTGCAATTCTGCCAAGCACTCAGAAAATTCCTTGCAAAATCAGCACCGGTACGCGGCATGATAGTGGTGGAGAGAAGCTCGCATTCATTCCGGCTCAGTTACAGGCCTCTGGAGTCAGCCGATGACCGCTCGCACTTTTCTCGATCCTCTTCATCTGGCTGCCAGGGCCCTCCACCAAGCCATCCAAGACCAAGAAAACCTCAGGACCGACAGGCAGCGGTTCAAAGAGCAGACCCAGATGAGCCAAGGAATTTCCATGTGTGAAAGAGGTCAAGCTGTGCGTAATGACTTCGAGAGGTTGCGGTGGCTTCCGAAAGCAAACCTGTCCTGCAGCTGATGTTTCAAGCACAGCAGCTTGACCATCGGGCCGCGCCTGGGTTGCCGGTGGAACTCGGCAGAGTTCCACAACAAGGTTTGTGCATAACGGGACCGCGAGGAGGAGCTCCCTGGAGCGCATGCAAGTGAAAGTCTCCAAAGGTACAGTGGGGTAAGCAGAGTGCTTGCGTCCTGCCGTGTCCTGCCTCCTCGTGCCACAGCAGTCACCATGACCAAGAATGAAGACAGCAGCCTCAGTCGGCCTGAGTCGGTTGCGCACCAGCAGAGCATGCAAGGCCGCTCGAGTGACCACGTCGTTGCCAAGCACATCCACGACCGTGGAAGCCTGCAATGGTGAGCAGCGATAGTGGCCTGGAGTGTGAATTCTCCACCGGAACGGCTTCCAAGGCCTCTGCATAACCAAGCAGTTCCTCACTTGGTTGCACGAAGTGAGGGAGAGCGTCGAAGAGTCCACAGAAGAACTCCATCCGCCTTTCGCAGCGACCCAGGACATGCTAGCTGCGGGGATGCCGTGGCCCCATGTGCTCCTGGGCAGGCAGCAGCGGCCATGCAGCAGCACATGGCCAGGACATGCTGGCTTCTTGTCCTCACAAGTCTGTTGCTCTGTACACTTTTCAGTTTCGCAGAAAAGCCAGACGAGCTGTCTGATATGAGAAATTGCTTGTTGATGCTTTTTTTTATGGCGACCTCTGGCGTGTCTTGAGCTGCCCAGGCTATCTCGAAACCCACATACACGGGAGATTTGCTTCTCTGAACTTTGCGCGACATGTTTCGGATTTTTGAGCCTTGGCAGTAAACTGGAAACATGCGACTAGACAGGCATGTGCTTTGCATCTCGGCAACCAGGTAGCTCCCTGAAGAACTGGTTTCGCTGCGAAGTTTGAAGCCTACCAGAAAGCAATGGCTTCGGCCAGCAGGGAAGCTGCGGCAAGCTCGACTTCCTTACGTCCTTCCTCATCAACGCCCTGGTGGCCTGCCTGGAATACTGGTACGACGGGCACCAGGCGAAGCTGTGGTCCGCTTGTCAACCGTTCCCTTTGGGCCGAGATCTCTGTGGGGGGGCAGAAGCCAGAGCATGAGATAGTCCGGTCACATTCCACGCCAGACAGCTCTATGTCCTGCAGGGTTCTGCTTGCTCCCTGTACCATGAACGGAAGGCCCGCCGATTCTGATGCAGAAGACCAGCGAGGCAATCACCTGCAAACACTTGCATCAAAGTGGAGCACCTGGAAAGATTTAGCACAGGCAGACTTGCTCATGCATGGACTGCAACGACGTCTGCGCTCCTTCAAAGCTCGACAAGAGCCAGACAAGAGCTCGGAGTGCATCACGGGCACATCGAAAGCTGCCCTCTCGGAGGCTACGCCGATCCATGTCTTCCTTCTCTTCAACACCCTGGGCCGGCCTCGTCTGCGGAACCCCCTTCCGTCCGCTGTTCGAAAGCTTTCACTTGTGATGGGGTGTCGGCTGGTAATTTCTGCTGCTACAGGCATGTACTGAACCTCAACTTTAGCAGCTTGGCTCAGTGCTCTGGTTCAGTCGAAGTGCGCCTCCGCGAAATGGAATGACAGCCCTCTGGAGCCCAGCACCAATGTGGCAATCGTCTTGGCCCGTGGGACATGGTAAGAGGAGGTGACAACAACCACGTCAACTGGAGCGCCCCCTTGGATTCCAATTGGATGAGAGCAGCAAGAGCTTGCATTGCAACTCCAACCATTGCCGCAGTTTGTGTGCAGTCGAGGAATGCTGAGAGTCCAACTTTTGCGAGCTAAACGTTTCTTGTCGACACATCGGAGAAACGTGGTGAAATTGGCCAAGGTGTCGATGGCTTCCTAAGCATCTGAAACCGGCGAGAGAAGCACCCTGCCAAATACTTAGGAAAGCTCAAAAAAGGTCAGCAAACATGCAGATTCGAAGTCTCTGTCCAAGTGCATGACCTTTTGCAGCTGCAGCAAGTCAACACCCGGGAAGTGACCTATCGGCTTTTGATGGACCGCAGCTTCTGGTCTAAAGTCGGACTGGAGCTTGAAGTGCCCACTGGAAAAGAAGGCAAGCGCGTTCGGTTGGAGCTCCAACCGTGCACCAAGCCGGGCGCCCAGAAAATCGCGACAGGCTTCGCCGCCACAAATCAGTATCCACTGCGTGCCACTTGCAATGGCAACTTCTGCCACCTCAACCTGGGCGGTCAGGCGCAGCACGCTTTCAACCCAAACACCGTCTACTATGTAGATAAGATTGTGTTCGAAGCTCTTCTTCGGCGCTTCACCCGCCACCAATGCAAGTCTGCTGAAAGGATGACATGGCACAGAATCAGATGTCTCAAGACCTGCGGCAGTTCGGAATGAGGCTTGAACCCGAATTTGCATGCGTGTGCATCTGAACATCCTGCGGCGCCACCACTTACGTATCCTTTCTCAAACATCCGCCCTCTGCATCCTGGAAGTTCATGACTCGTACTGGACAGGTCAAACGAGCCCAACCTGATCTCCAAGCGCTGGCTTTGCGGCTCGCACACGTGCAACTCGCACCTGCATAGGCCAATATGCCTTAGTTTGAAGCTGTCGGGGAGTTTGTGGAGCCTTTTCCTCGAAAACAGCTGGTGGCAAGCCGCCTGCCACGTACAATACCAATGTGAGGGTGCCCACATGCAGTGGCGTCGCCGCTGCAGCCTCGCGAAATACTTGTCGTTGTGCCACGCTCTGGTCTCATGGGGACAGCTATGATCTGGAGAAAAAAACAACGAATGAGTCCGAAAAGGCAAGATTTTGTCGCTATGTGTGTGCAGCTTTCAACAAGTGTGTCTGCACCACTGGGACACAAAGGAAGAAGCAGCCGAGCATCTAGCGCAAAGGCAAAGCTGAAGGCAAGCAGGCTGCACCGAACAGCCACATTCATGGAGATGCTTTCTGACATAAACGACTGCATCCTGATGCTTTAGGGCCTGAGGGCTACGGCTTTGGCATGATCCACCGCAACTGGCACGACAACTTGAGACCGTTAAACTGGGTCAACTCTCTCAAGGTCTAGTGACGTCTTATGCGTGCACATGCAGTGGTCGTCCGGGGACTGCACGGCATTTTCAAGCAGGCACATTCTGGCAGTTCGGGTCGGAGCTCACGCCAGGACTGCCCTTTTGAAGCTGCATGAAACATGAAACCACTGTTGTGGCTACAGCTGTACATCAGGCTTCATGTCAGCATTCTTCACACAGTGCCAGGAACGAGGGAAGTGTCGCCCCAGAAGAAGAACTCGCAATGCCGCTCCTTATCCGACACGGCTCAGAAGCACAAAATGGCACCGGAAAGGGACACGATCACCACCTCACATCACTTTGATCATCCCAGGGGCTGATTCTGGGGGCAAGTTTAAGCCCTCTTCCAAGAGCCCACGTTCCGTGGCCTCCAGTCTCTCTGCCTGCACCGGTTGCAAGCTGGGCCGCTAGGCTTCCGGGAGGTCTCCCGATGAAGGAAATAAATCTGCTTCGTTGGGTTTGTCTGCGATCAGGCGCAAGCGAGGGCAGCACAACCCAGAAACCAGCTACCCTGCTTGGAACATCGTATTCTACCAGGTCTTGCTGTGCCTCAAAAAATGCTCTCATGATGTCATGGTGCCGCAACGCCACAGTTTGCCCCACCTCTGTGAGCCTCGCAGCCCCGTCTGGCCAGCGAAGGGTCTCCCGTCGCACCGCAGCGAAAACCATGCGGCCGATGCGGAAGCCTACCTCCTTGGCGGCTGTCTCGTTCCAGGCCTGTCGAAGCTCTAAAGCCGAAGCCCAAAATACCTTCGAGCTCTTTTGTTTAACCGGCCTGCCCTTCACCTCGTCCCCTAGCTCGGCGCATGCTCATCTCAAAGAGCTCGGCAAGACCCTTCGACGACAGCTTCAAGAGTGCCGCCCCTGTAATCTGCGGGGGCAGCACCAGATACTTGAAGCGGCCATTGTCCACGGTCCTGATCCACCTCAGCAGGGTCACTTTGCTACAGAGCCTTACCGACCCGTGCTTGATCCAGAGTCCCAGACCTGTCAACATCCTCCTCTGACCACTCCCAAATTGGTATCGATGCTGCAAAATCGACCAAGGGCAAGTCAACGGAGCATTCGGCACGCAAAGTCGACAATGCTGTTGACCTCAAAGCTGCGGCCCATGGCCGCGCATGAGCAAGTGTTCGTGTTGTTCCGCCATTTTGTTGGGGAGCCACAGCAACAACGTATCATCATCATTCCCCCACAAACAACTGCCAAATAACGAACAGCAACCGACACCAACTGGCATCAGCAGACCACGGCCGTCAACACGCACAAGCAACATCACCACGACACGCTGATCGCACAGTTTGGCAACAACTGTTCTATACTCGTTCTATCCTTATAAACTGTACATCTGGGTCCCGGGCATCTGCGTCACTTGCAGGAGAGAGTTTGTAGAATGCAACAGATCGGTCGCAGTAGGAGATACCGTTGAAAGAATGAGGGTCCTGCAACACATGATACCGCCGAAAGCTAGATCCTGCAATGGTGAAGATACACCCAAAATTTGGATTGGCTGACACAAGGCTTACGTTCTGTGAAAGGTCCTGTGCTCCGGATCTGTGAAGCACGAACGCAAGACCTTCCGAGATGAGACATGTGGCAAAGGAAACGTAAAACTAGGCAAAGGCGGCAAGGTGCTTGGGTTAGGCCTGCGTGAGCCGGCTTGCTCGGTACGGCGCTCGAGCAGTGCGCTGGCGTGCAATGCGGGCATGGGCCCGGAAGCAGTCCTGCGAAGATCGGCGAAGGGGGCATGCACAGACGCATGAAGACGCACGGTCACAACACAAGGAGATCACTGCTAATCTCGGATGCTGGTATGCCTTGCATTACCCACAGCAAGGTGAACTGGCGATTTGGGAAGTGTGCCTAATTTGCGTGACTGCCGCCGGTTCATTCATGTTCATGACTGGCATTGTCACGCCGGAACTTCGCGAGAGTAAACTGTCAACTTGCACCTTTAGCACCTGCTTCCCCATGCTGCTGCATATGCTCTGCTCTGCTCTGCAAAAGCCTTCTCAGGCTTGCGCTTGCCTGAACACAGGTGTTACTTGCAGGTTGGATGCGACACAATTTGTATTAACGTTCTGCTTGAGCAGCTAGCCAACTACGCAACATGCATAGGCTGTTCTGCGAAGGCTCTAAAGCGCCGACTTTTCGTTCGACAACGAAACTGTCGTGAAGCTGGTCATCCAGGCCTTCAGTGCCATCAAGGATTTGTTGATTTCTGCGAAGTCGCGGTGCTGCTGCGCGGTCATGTAGCGGGTTTCATAGTTACGCTCGGAGCCAGCTAAATCCACGAAGCGGATTGTTCCAAGACCATCGATGTCAAGGACGCATATGGCCTCGGACTCACGACGACTTCCTGCCTGCACCTCAACCTGCCGAAACTGTGGATGTGACCACACAAAGTACCACATAAACAAGCTTCTGGGCAAGAAAGTTGCGTGGCTGCGTGAAGAAAGTGAATTTCTCTCTGTTGCTTCCGATCGCCGAAGCTGCAGAGCTTCCTCTAACAGTTCAGGAAGCTCGGAAGAGATCGCGGTGAGCTTCGCAGCACCCCTGGCAGCTCTTGGAAGCTTCAAACCAAGACGAGAAGACACACGCTGAAAGTCCTGACATGCACCCGCTCTTCGCCGTCCGATCGCAAATTAACTTCTTTTCGTTGCTGAAGCAAGTCAAAGCCTCAAGCTGCCACGGCGATGCCAAACGTTAACTTTATAAGAACCGACATGGTAACAAGGCGCATTTCTTGCCAAGGATTTCGAAGAACGTCACCGAAATCGTGCGACCGGCCAGATCGCATCCAATCCGCTGCCAGCACGCATTGAATGTGTGGGTCTTCCCGGTCCCAGTCTGACCGTAGAAAATCACGGTAGCCTCCCGCAGCCAGTGAGGCCAGTGTTGTCTTGGAAGCGGGCTCACAGCAACAAAACCCTCAAATCCTCCGACACACAGAACATGCAAGCCTCGCTTCCATTCAGAGATGTCACCAAAGGCCGTACCTTTCCGACATGAGTGACCCAGGCCACCGAGGCAGTTGTCAGCATATCGACACCCAGTGAGCGGCAACGCACACTACGTGTTGCAATAGCGGCATGACAAATGTTAAAAATCCAAAGCTTTGTCGAATGTACATCTGCTTCCGAAAAACACCGATCAAAACAACGGCACAAATCACCTCCCTTGATCAACCCGGTCAAACGACCCCACTGATTGTCCCCAGTTTGTCGTTCAGCTTAATTGAGCGTCTGCATCGTGGTAGAATTCCGCATCCGAGATGTCGGACCCGTATACGCAATCCTTAGTTGCACTGCGGCCATCAGGACCACAGCAAACAGTGCGCAAACATGCGCAAACTTCCAGACATGGCACCAACGTAAATTTTTTGTGTGTCATCTCCAAACGCCGGCCAGTTCTGTGCAGTCGCCCATCATGACAAACAACCCGGGCATCTCGCCTCCGCAGCATCCCTTTGACTGAACATCTCTTTCAGTGAGACAATCAAGGATCTGCGGTGCAACTACGGGCAGCACTCGGACCTGGAAACCGAAACGCAATCCCATTCACCAGATGCAACTTCAAACTTCAACAGTGGTCTCTTCCGAGCAATGCACCTGAGCTGAACCAAACGTTTCCTGCACTCCGGGATGCGGGCATGTTGTTGAAACTGGCGGCTGCGACAAGCAAGGCACACCATTGTTGGGCTGGGGTCTGGCAATGGTTTTCGCCAACCAGCCAGAAAGGCCACCGCTTGGCCTTGCCCGAAGCAGAAATCGGCGACGCGCTCCCAGATGCTAAGATCCAAATCCTAGGGAGGCGGGCATGCCCATACATTCCAACACACTTGCTCACAACAGATGTCCTGATCAACACTGACGTGCAGGCCAGAAACTCTCAGCGGTGTTGACTGGCTGGAGAAGTGCGCGTCAAGCAAGAGTTTTAATCCTCGTACGAAATGTTCACAATGCATGGAGATGCACTATATCAATAAGACCACGTAGAAGACCGCAGCGGTGTTGGTTCATGCTTAGCCACAAGACAGCAAAGTGGCGGAACAAGTCGGCTTGTGCAACTCGCAAACGATTGCGGTGAATCAAATACCTCCACCATGCGATCCAATTCAAAACTGCTGGATTGCCAGAGCGGAAATACATGTTAATTGTAAGTAAGCAGCACTTGACAGTTGCAGTTGCTACCTGCTTTCGAGTGCCTTTCCTGTTTCCTGTTACAACCAAAGCATTGCCACCGGTCAGGCTGCGAGTTCAAAAATGCAAAACAAACGACTTTTTGGATAAGCATACAGAGACACCACACATGGTTAGGTTGGCTGGAATCAGTGGCCGCAAAGAACCACCACTGCATGTTCAAACTGCGCCTAAGTTTGCACACGTTTTGTTGCACATCTTGCCTTTGTCATCTGTCAGAACTAGAACTAAAAGCACATGCCACACGTCAACACTACGAGCACATGCAAAAGGAAATGGGAAAAGCCGTCTCAAACAATTCTGTATTCTGAACACGGGTTGCGGGCCCGAATCACGCGGTCGCTGTTTGTAGCTTCGTTGGCCTCTCTGCGGTTATTTTTCTGTGGTCCTTGTGCACGACAGCAACACTGCAGCTACGCACTGTATGTCCTCCAAAACCCGAGTCCAAGGCTGCAGCTTAAGGGCGAGGGGGGCTTAGACGGCTGGCAACAGGCGGGGTTCCGTCCAAGCGATTCCAAAAAAAAACGCCGCCTGTGCAAACCCAAATGCATCCCGCCGGGATGGAAAGAATGATGTATGGCTACGGTTAAGGAACCGTAGAACAAGGCACAATTTCGGTTGTAAGACCCTCAGTCAAGGCACTTGCATTTGCAATTTGCCCGTTCGAGTCACGTTCAATTTATCATCCCATC